ACCTCCTGAGTGTGGGTGTCAGCGAGGTCTGGACAATCTGTGGGGCCTTGGGCAGTGGATCTGTATTTGTCCCTGGCATACAGATGGACTTTGGGTGCCCCTCCCACAGTGAGGGAAGCTCTCTCAGCCTGATCTCTTGGGGAAGGACCTGGGCCCTGTCCTGGATGAAATGGCAGACTCTGGGGATTCCCCACAAATGGTCTCACCCTCCCTGAGGAATGGAGTGGGGATTGAGTGGGGACCTGGGGGAGTTGGTGGGAGACGGGGGAGGAGGGGAGGGAGAGGGAGCTGGGATTGACATGTGAAGCAAGCTTGAAATAAAAAATAATAAATAAATAAATTAATTAATTAATTAAAAAAAACAAAGACTAAGAAACTTTTTGCTTAGTGTTATGGTGCACACTTGTAACCCCAGCATTCGGGAGGTGGAGGCAGGAGGATGATGAGTTTAAGGTGGTCCTCAGTTGCATAGGGAGTTCTAGACCAGCCTGGACTACAAGAGACCCTGTGACATGCAAACACCCCAGAGAGTTTGTGAACAAAATAGAATTGAGGTTGGGCAGAAATTTTAAAAGATGAAGAATTAGGAGAGCAGTTCTGATGGTGTCCTTGACAGCTGGGCCTGGGATGGAAGGGAGAGAGAGGACAGCTAAGGCTGAACACACTGCGGCTCACCAGTTGGGATCTCTCCATCTCCAAAGTTTTAATGAGTTGAAATGGTGCTGCGTGGATGGCTCACAGAGGTAAGGGCATTTGGCAGTGGTAATAAGTCAAAAAGTGGCAGAGCAAGGACTCAGATTCTCACGGCAGTAGGTGTGCGTTGTGAGCCTTTAACAGCCATGTCTGTAATGTGTACAATCAACGTGTCAGGACACAGGGTGAGGCACTGGTGACTGGGGGACTCAGACAGATCTCATCCCAGAAGAGCAAGACCCAGGAAACAACGCAGGCTTCACTTAGCGGTGGGCAGGACTCTGGCTACTTCCAGAACACATTTTCCTATGTCCATGGGCATTTGCATTTCATATTTTAAGTTCCTTGGGACCATTGTTGATTATCTCCTACTCAAAACAACCTGGGTGGGGTGGGGTGCAGCAGTCATTACTTCAGGCCTCCACTATTTCCCCTTTTGTTTGCAAAGCAGTCATAGTCATTTCGCACACATCTGTGCTGGGAGAAGGTCACTGCTGTCCCCCTTTACAAGAGGGGCAGGCATTTGGCCTGAAAGACAAGTCTAAAGATGTTCCTAGCAAGCCCTGACCCTGCTTCCCAAAAGAGCTCCTCCCTTCTCCAACCATCTCCAGTTCTCATCCCTAGCTCCGCTTGTCACCATAGAACTTGTACCCTGTCACCGGTGGGCATCGTGGCACAGTCATGTGTTTAATCTGTTGGTGGCATGTTCCCTCTCTTGTTTTTCAAGGTCTATGCAGGGAGTATTAATGTCCCCATTTCACAGGTGAAGAAACTGAGGCTTAGCTAGGTAAGAGCCACCAGTGAATGTTAGGATGGTATCCCAACTCTTCACTCGCCAGTTCTGAATATATATTCAGAATATATATATTATATATATATTTAGAGAGAGAGAGAGAGAGGCTTGTGGTATGCATTTCTCTTTTCAAGTTTCATCATCGTCATCGTGTGCGCATGTACCCCAGTGTGCACATGGGGTCAGAGGACAACTTTCAGGAGTCAGTCCTCTCCTTCCTCCTCCGTCTTAGGCAGTGTCTCCTCCTTTCTGCTGTGCTTCGTGATCCAGGCTAGCTGGTCCCGAGCTTCTAGGAGATTCTGCTGCCTCAGATTCCCATCTCACAGTAGGAATGTTGGGATTACACAGGCTTATCACTGCACCCAAGTCTTCTCTGAAAACATTTAAAGCATGGGTTCTGGGGTTTGACTCAGATCGCCATGCTTGTATGGAAAGCACTGTTACCCACTGGCCCCGCAGGGCGTTGTTTCTGCTGCGGCCCAGGAGCACAAAAATGGACAAGGTGGTCTTGGTGCCCAGTAACTTCCCAGCTTTCTGTCCAACCATTCAATCACAGAGGCAAACACGGAAACCTGTGATTTAGCTTGCGAGGGGAAGATACTGTGTACATCGTGGGGTCGGGGTAGGGAACGAACACTACGAACGATATTGGTGGAGGACAGGGAGTCCAGCCCGGGTAGCACCAAGGAGGAGTTCCTGAGATGCCTGTTAGACGAGCTAAGGCTCAAGGGCACCAGATGCTCGATAGGAGGGTTAGTCTTGTCAACCTGATGAGATCCAGCATCGCCACTGAAACCCGTGTCTGAGAGGAACCGTCTGGATTATGTCCACTGAGTTAGGAAGACACCCTCAGTGTGGGCAGTGCCGTTTTATGAGCTGGGGTCCCAGATGGGATAAAACAGAGAAAGGAGACACTGCGTTTCTCCCTCTGCTCCCGGGCACTGGAGGCAGCATGACGAGCTAGCTGCTTCCTGCTACTGGGCTTTCCCCTGGGACTTCCGTCCCGGGGTTGGGGATGTTGGGTGTTGGGTCACAGCGATGGCAAAATAACAAGACAGTCGGGGTGCAGGGTGTCACAGGCAGCCTGGGAAGTCAAGCAATGGGAGGGACTGGTCTGCTTGCGAACTCCCCCCTTCCCACCTATACAGGGCCACAGTGAGGCGGTGACTTGAAGACCGGCCTAGGGCACCTTCAAAGCTTACCTCCTCAGGCATGCTCCCTGCTCTCGGGACAGTGGCCTGTTTAGGGCCAGGTGGGATAGGAGATGCGGGGGTGGGGGCAGCTGGGGGAACCCTTGAAACTGTTTTTTCTGCCCCATCTGTGTGGGGACCTCCAGCTGATAGGTCCTCCCAGGAGGCTGGGGGAGGGTTAAGTTTCATAACACCCTCTGCCCTTCCCCCAGTGTCTCCAGAGGGCAAGAAAAGAGGAAGCACTTTGTGGACTTCCTCCTGCTCAGGGTATACCAAGCCAGGCTCCTCCCTGAAGGGGCAGAACAGGACCTGCCTGTCGGGTTCTTCTACAAGGGTCCTGAGCATGGCTGTGTTCTCTGCCCCCATTTGGCTAGAATACCCTCTGGAGGGCTCCCAGATGTGCGGGATGGGAGAACAATCCCCTCTCTGTCTTATTTTTGGGAGTGGCCAGGGTAGAAACTGGAGCCGGGATCCCTGGGAAGCCCAGGCTGGCCCATGGTCTTCTTGCCCCTGTCTGCACATCTAACATGCCTTGTGCACCCCGCAAAGCTTCTCTTCTCTGAGACTGTATCTTAGGGAAGTCAAGTCCCGCACTTGGCATCTTGGCGGTGTGTGTCATCTACCGCTGAGGGAGTCCCATGTCACATGTGCACAGCAGCGTGGAGAAAACTGGGCAGGTGGCCTTCACACCTGACACTCTGACTCTTGGGAGGCTGGGCTGCCTCAACTTCCCTCCCTCCCCCAAGCGAGGGAGAGCCCGGTCCTTTCAGGTTGCTACCCCCTGAATGCATGCGACTACGGGAAAGTCTGGAAGCTACCCATTCCGCCCACAGGACACTGGGTGACACTGAAAGACAGGGGATGTGGGATCAGAGAGGGGAGGGACGTTTTCTGATTTGGCTTTCACTTTTCTTTTTAAACTGGAATTGTTTTGTGCAATTAAAAAAATAAAAATAAACAAAGGAACCGGTGCACAATGATATTAAGTGACCTCTTTCCCAAATACTTCGCCATGAAGTTTTTAAACACGGGACAGAATTGAAAGAGTTTTTGCTGTACTGTTTTCACTACCTTCTTTACCCCATGTGTGTCCACCAATTCATCCTGTGTGTTGTGTTGTGTGCATACATCATTTGTGTGACCTCGAGAACATTCTGCAATTATTTCCTTTAGGCAGGGTCTTCACTGATCCCGAAGCTAGATGTCGGCCAGCAAGGTCCCGTCATGTTGCTGGGGACACAGGCACATTCCAAGCTAAGCTCAGCTTTCGTGTGGGGGCTTGGGATTCAGGCTCAGGTCCTCACATTTGTGCGCCAAGCACTCTCACCTGCCGTCTCCCCAGTCCACAACTCATCTTTGTGGAAGAAACTCCTGACGCTAGGCAAGGGCTCTGCCACTGTGCCAAACGGTCCCTTCCAGTTTGTCATTTCTTCCTTTCTTCTTTTGAGACGGGGTCTCACCATATACCCCAGTTGGCTGGAAATTGCTATATAAACCACTCTGGCCTCAAACTCACAGAGGTCCTCCTTCCTCTGTTCCCAGGTGTAGGGATTAAAGGCGTTGCTTTATTTACATGTTATTACTTTGTGTGTGTGAGTTTTTTGGCTTGCATGCGTAAACGTGTACCACATGCACGTAGTGCCCTCGAGGTGAGAAGAGGGTGTTGGACTCTGTGGAACTGCAGTTACCGGTGGCTGTGAGTAGTCATGTGGATGCCGGGACCTGAACCTGGGTCCTTTGCGAGAACATCAAGTGTTCTTAACCCCAGAGTCTCTCTCCAGCACCAACTTATCTTTCTTTAAAACGCATGTCTATTCATCATTACTGTGAGTGTGTATAATGGGTTTTATTCATCATTATTGTGTGTATAATGGGGTTTTATTCATCATTACTGTGAGTGTGTATAATGGGGTTGTGCGTGCAGGCATGCCACAGCTTGAGTGCGGAGGTCAGGGGACAGAGACATTTTCTCCTTCCATCTTCACGCGGGCCCCAGGGATCAACCTCAGGTCACCGGGCTTGCACGGCAAAGCGCTTTCCTCACTGAGTCATTTGCTGCTCCTGTCGATAGCTTTTCTAGGTGCTTTTCATAGTAAATTATCTCTTTAAATTTTAAACGCTTTTGTTTCATTATTTTGCTTGTACAGGTGTTTTGCCTGCATGTACGTCTGTGTACCATGTGTGTACCTGCTGCCTGTGGAGGTCAGAAGAGGACAATGGACATCTTGGAACTGGAGTTACAGATAGTTGCCATGTGGATGCTAGAAATTGACCCTTGTCTTAGGGTTTTTATTACTGTGAAGAGACACTATGACCACGGAAACTCTTATAAGGAAAACATTTAATGGTGGGGGCTCGCTTACAGTTTCAGAGGCTCAGTCCATTATCATCAAGACAGGGAGTTGTAGCGGTGTACAGGCAGATGTGGTGAGCATGGCGGCATGCAGGCAGATGTGGTGCTGGAGTAGTAACTGGGAGTCCTACATCTTGCAGGCAACAGAAAGTCAACTGAGACACTGGGTGGTATCCTGAGCATAGGGAACCCCAAAGCCCACACCTGTTTCAAAAGACAATTTCTCAAGTTCATCATATAGACAATGGGATAGAGCCTTTAATGAATAAAGAGATCCGCAACTATGTAAGGCTCTAGTAGAAAAGCAGGAGGTGTTTTCCACACAGTCTGCAGAAAACAAAATACCAGTGACCCTGATGTTTCTGATGAGGCAGTCAACCTCATTCATGAAGAAAGAGGTCAAAATCGATACAACACTGGGAAACCATTTGTCAGCTGTGTGATTGGCAATGTTCAGAATGTTTGATGACTGATTTTGAGGCTATGAGGATTAGGCACTGATGCCAGAATTTCAATGCAGCTCCTTGCCTAGAAGCCTATTCATCTTTACTCATATCCATACACGTGGATGTGAATGGACACGCTACTGACAGGAGGTTAAAACACACCGAATGACGGGGGATTGGCTAGACAAACTGTAGGTTCTGAAGAAAAGGGAACACCATGCAACCTTCAATAAGGCTCTCTCTGTGCTGACACGGAGGTATTTCCAATGCAATGCAAGTGCTGACAACACGCTGGACAATGCACTGTAGATCACCGTAGGAAATGGCTTCATGAGTTGTGGACTAGTTCTGGACATCATTGTCTGCATATCATTGCTCAGAGTCTACCAAGTGACACTGGAACCTGCAGTGGTGGAAGACAGAAGGAGTGATGGGGGCACTTATGAGCTTTGCACATGGTCAGGGATTGATGCTAAAGACTCTGCAGTCATCATGGCAGGGATCAGGCATGACAGGCTGGCCTAGCTTGATGGCCTTGTATCTGAAACACCCAGGGAGGGTGGAAACATAAGAGTGGGCCATCCAAACCTGCCCCTTTGGTCTGGACGAGGAGTAGTTGGACCCAGAGATTCCAAGGAGTATCTTTAATAGTATCTCGAACCCAGATGTGGTGGTTCACACCTGAAATCCTAGTACTTGAGAGGTGAAGCCAAGAGCATGGCTGTGGGTTTGACACTAGCCTGGATTGTAGAGTGAAGTCTTGCCTCAAAAAACCAGAAACTGAAACCCATTAATATCAACTACTAGACTTTAAATTCCAAGAGGTCAACATCTAAGTGCTAAGTAGTCCGCTTTCCTCTTTGAATGGACCCTCACCTTTCTTCCTCTCCTCTGTCTGGGATCTCCTTACCCTGATCTAGCCTCTGCCCCACCCCCACTCTCTTCTGCTCTCTAATTCTTCCTTCTCTCTAGCAGCTCCTGCAGGGAGGGATCCTTATTCTTCCAGCTTCTCTGAGTTCCTCTCCTATAAGCTCTACCCGCTCTGCTCTGATCTTATCTCACTCCTTACTCCTCCAGCAATAATAATGTCTGCATTTACTACAGTTATTGAGCACCTACTACATGTACTCTATCTATCTATCTATCTATCTATCTATCTATCTATCTATCTATCTATCTGTGAGCTAGCTCTCAGTGTGTGGCCCTGGCTGGTCTTGAACTTGAGACCCAGAGAGTCTAGCTACATAGTAGGACCTATCTTGTTCAAGCTGCACAACTCCCCATGATTGTGATGTGTGCTATTTTTATCTTACAGATAAGGAACTCAAGCACCAGAAACATTCAAGGGGTTACCCAACTAGCAGATGACAGCTCTGTGAGTCAAACCCCTTCTGTCTGATCCTCCACCGCAGCACCCGCTCACTGCACTACATCTAACTGCTTGCCATGTTCTTTGAGTTTCCTGTCTCTGCCCATGCTAAGGCCCCTGCCTGGAGGACTCTTCGTCTCCTCAGTCCACCTGCCCCAAGCCTTGCTTGTCACAGAAGGTCTTGCTCAGCAGTCACCCCTGTTTCAAAGTCCTTTCCAGTTTCCCCCAAAGAGGGGGCTTATCACCCTTTGATTTTATAACTGAGAAAACTCTGCCAGTCACTTATTGTCACCATTGTCATCATCATCCATGACAGCTCCATAGCCCAGGCTGGCTTCAAATTCACCTTCCTCTTACATCCATCTCTCAAATGCTAAAGTCACAGTCACGTGCCACCACACTCGGTTGTCTGCAGACTACATGTGCCACTCCACCCACCCAACCCACCCATACCCAGGAGCCACACTGGCAGGAAACATGCTCTGTCTCCCTCTAGTGTCTAGCACAAAACTGGGCACAGGCATGGGTGTTCTCTAAATGTTTGAGGACTGAATGGCAGGGACCTGAGCACTCAGCCCTGTCACACAGTTGGAAATTTCCAGAAGATGAGTCTCCAGCTGGGAAGAAGCAGGGGAGGAGGAGGATGCTGTAGAGCCCTCAGGTAGGAGAGATCTCCCTGCAGGGGACACTCTCTCAGAGACAGTTTTACTAATCTAACCACTTACCACTAAGAGCAAAGTCGCCAGAGGAGCCAGCTGGTGATGATGTCCCACACTTGCATGATCCCCAGTGGTCTTTGGGAGCCAGCCAGGCTCCCAAATACCCTAGGGGATTTCCCCCTCTTTCAATGCCAGGAACTGAACCATGGTTGGAAGTGACCCTGGCAGGGTGTCTGTGTGTCACAGGAGGAAGTGTGGCCAGAGTTCCTAGGCTCATTGCTTAGACTGCCCCCTAGGGCCTCTGACAGCAGTGGTCACATGAACTTGCTTGCCTGTGAGGGAAGTTGCACCATCCTCAGGGATATGGGGTAAGAACCATTCTAGTGCCTCTCACAGTGTTGCCATGGTACCCTGGCTAGGACTATGGGCAAAATCTAAGTTCTTAAAAGCCCAAGGCCTTCAAGAGAGGCTACCTCCCTCAGTAACTTCCTCAGACTCCTAGGGCCTCAGATCCCAGTGTGACATAGCATTGCCACCTTCCTTAGGGTAGGAGGCAAGGCAGGAGGGATGCTGAAAAGATGAACTCTGTTGTTAAGTCCATAGTGCAGTTCACTGTGCAACATGGCTTCTTGACGTCTCTTCCTTGATCTCCAGGCTGCTCTCTCACAGGCTAGGGAGAGACACCTGGCAACATCAGAATTAAAGAGCACTATTTTTTTTGTTTTTCGAGACAGGGTTTCTCTGTATTGTTTTGGAGGCTGTCCTGGAACTTGCTCTGTAGACCAGGCTGGCCTCGAACTCACAGAGATCCGCCTGCCTCTGCCTCATGAGTGCTGGGATTAAGGGCATGCACCACCAACGCTTGGCCAATAGAGCACATTTGTTCAACAGCAGCATCATGAACTAGCTGCTGTCCATGAGTTTGGATCATTAGCATCACTAGACTTCATGTTGGCAGTGTAAACTTCCGGTTCCACCTCTATACTACTGAATCAAGAACTCTGGGTATGCAGCTCAACATTCTGTTCTAGCAAACCTTCCTGGAGGCTCCAGAGTGTGTTGAAGTTAGTCAATCAATGCTACAGAGAAACTTAACAGATGGGCAACATATTGGAAAAAGATATGTGGAACACCAACATCCAACACCAGAGTGATATCTAAAACTTGAATGTTATTCTTGCAAATGAATATAAAAAACACGGGGAGCCCAATGGAAGTGAGCAAACAATAAAGGAGCAGCTCACAGCGGGGAAAGCCCAGTGTCCACTATGTACAGAAGGAAGCTCCAAATCTCAGGATGAGGCTAGGGACGGAGCTTAGTTGGGCAAGTGCTCACCTGGCATTCTTGATGCTCCCCATCGCATCTTGATGCGAGCCAGGCAAGCAGCAGTGCACATCCTAGAAACTTAGGAGGATCAGAAGTTTGAAGCCAGCTTGGGTTACATGAGGCACTATCCCCAACACCAACGACATTTCTCAGGTTTAACACAGAAATGCAAGAATGCATGCTATATGTATATTTGTCTGGTGCATGTGTTACTGGGAATTGAGTTTAGAGCCACATACATACTAGGCAAGCACTCTACTATCAAGCTACATCCCAGTATTCCTTAGGCTTTTTCATTTTGAGGCCGAGTCCTGCTTAGTTGCTACATCCAAACTGAAGGACAACAACTATAGTCAAGCATTTTTTAAAAAGGACGAATGAACAAGGCAACGGCATTGTTTGAAAGCTGTGGATAGGCCATTCTGAAGGGGTTTTGTGAAATTTAAACACATATGTCTGGGATCCACTAATTCCACTTCTGGCAGAGCTCAACAGAATCTTCACATGGGACCACAAGGACCAACTACAAAGATGTTCACCATAGCAGTCCTTGTGGTACGAGAGGGTTGAAAGCAAACTGGGTGCCCATCATCAGGGGGATGGAGAAACAGAGGGAATGCTTGGAATATCTGGTAGATGTTAAATGCAATAAACTATATTTTCCCACAAAAATATGTCTGGATCTTAAAAAACATTACAGAGTGAGCTAGGCCTGGTGCCACACACCTGTTATCCAATCACTCAAGTAGCTGAGGCAGGAAGATCTTGAGTTGGTTGCAGCCTTGGATACACAACAAGCTCTCATCAGAAAACAAGAACAGGGATGGAGAGATGGCTCAGAGGTCAAGAGCACTGGCTGCTCTTCCAGAGGTCCTGAGTTCAATTCCCAGCAACCACATGGTGACTCACAACCATCTGTAATGAGATCCGGTGCCCTCTTCTGGCCTGCAGACATGCAGTCTGAACACTGTATACATAATAAATAAATAAATCTTTAAAAAAAAAACAAATACCACACCACTGACCATCCAACCCAAATGGCAAAACAACAAACTTACGAAAGGAAGCCGAAGAATGAGAACTCATTCAGCCGAAGAACGAGAACTCATTCCACTGTCACTTACGCTGTATTCATGTGCATACAGCATTGCACAGTGTATATGAGTGTACATGTCTGGGTTTGCATGCATGTGTCAGTGTTGAATGTCTTCTTCGTTCTCTCCTCACCTTACCTTAAGAAAGGGTCTCTCTTTTTTAATCAGAAATTATTATTATTAGTGTCTGTGTACGTGTAGGGTGATGGTGATGATGCCTGTGTGCTCATGAGAACACCACAGTACGCATGCGTAGAGTGAGAACACCACAGTACGCATGCGTGGAGGTCAGACGACAACTTTGCACAGCCGGTTTCTTCCTCCCACCTTTATATAGGTTTTGGGGCTTGAATTTGGGTGGCCAGGCTTCTGCAATAAGTACGTTACAAATTGAGGGTCTCTCACCCATACTTACCGATTAGCTGGCCACTCTGTACTCCTGGCCCCAGCTAGGGTTAAAGACGTGATTATGCCGGCTTTTCACATGGGTGCTGGGGATCTGAAATCGGGCCATCATACTTTCTCGGTAGGAATTTTACTCACGGCATGATCTTCCCAGGCCAGCGTTGTGTTTTATGGACAGGGATGGAGTTTTGACATGCGGGGCTGGGGTTTGTGGTGTGGAGAAGAATGGAGACAGGGAGGAATGAAGAACAGCAGGAGAGCCTTATGAAGCAGTGATGAGGAGACGGTCTCTGCAACAAACCACATGGGAACACTAAGTCCCAGTGGCCATATGACTTGAATTTGGCCATAGAAGGCATAGCAAGGCTCTGCAGACATATTTTATCTCTTCCACTCAAGGCTCGCCATCCTCACTCAGGCTGTGCCAAGGGCTGGCCTTGTCTTCACCCCCATAGCTCACAGCAGTACCTGCCTGCACGGTTCTTTGACTTGCCTAAATCCAGGGCAAGTGTCTGCAAAGGCCTGAGTGTGTGTTTGGGGCTTGGGCACAGGGCCAGGACGTAAGAACCCCTGTTTCTTCTTCTCAAGCTGTAAACTCCTTCAGTCTTTGTGACATCTCATACCACCCACTGGTCCCAGGAATAATAGGTAAACTGAGTCAGAAAGCATTCCAAGTGGAAGGAAACGGCATTTACTGAGCATCTACAGCATGCTAGGCTAAGGTCTTGACCTCCATGGATCCCCATGACCACCTGTGAGAAGAGTGGAGCTGAAATTATTGTACAGATATGGAAATGGGTAGCGATATCCCTCATATCCATTCCTTAAAACAGCGACAACAACAACAACACCCTCCCAGTTTCTCAACCTGTAAAATTGAACAGAGGTCTCTGGGCTCTGGAAATGGTTTGGGTGTGAGGTTGGGCTGATAGAGCAGAAAGCTGGGGCTTGAACTGGAAATCTTTTCTATCGGCCAGTAGGTGGCGCGATTCTTCATCTGGCAGAGAACTCTAGGGACTGGGTCTCTCTAGAGTATAGCCACCTCTGCAGGACTTTCTCGGTATTGCAGAAAGTGAAACCCTGGAAACCCATCTGCAGCAACAGAAGCCCAAAAGGCACAGATGGAAATCCAGGATGTCTAGTTACCAGGAGGATGGTGTCCCCTGAGCAAGTATGCGCGACTCAAGGTGGGCAGCGGGGCTACAGGTAGTTGTCTTCACCCTGGTCGCCGCCGCTTGGGGAGACATCCTCATAGACGTCATCGTCAGGGGCTAGAGCCTCGATGTCGTGTGTAATGTCGTCCAGCAACTGGTGGAAGGTCTGAGCCTCAGGTCGCTGGACCGCCCCGTCGTAGCTGCGCACGGCAGAGGCGGATGTGGAGCTCATGCTGCGCTTGATGCGGCCGAAGCTGTCAGTGAGGATGCCACCCTCGCGGATGCCCACACTCTCCAGGAAGCTCTCGAAGTAGCCAATGTCCTGGTCCGGAATAAAGGGCCGCATCCCTACAGGACACAGGGCAAGGTGATTCCCTCATTTGCCAGCTTGCGTGGGAGTGCGCCTTTCTGGAAGTCTGAGTTCACATCCTGTCTCTGCCAGTATGGCTTATCCAAGATTTTTTTTTTAACCTCATTAAACAGCAGATAACACACAAGGTTCCCCACGTGTTTGTTAGCTTAGTATATTCTTAGGATTATATCCCACTTGTTAGCTACACTACCTTTATTAAATAACCACTCAAACCTCAATTTCCTCACCTGTAAAAACATATTTTTACCTGCTTTGGTGCAAATGTAGTAACAGTTACTTCCCACGCCGACACCATAAACAGTAGTTTTGCTCCCGTCCCTCTCTGGCTCTTTGGCTTTCCTTCTTTACTTTGCTGCTCTGAGTCTCCGTTTCTCCACGTGCAAATGGGCACAATATAACTGCATTTACTTCCCAGAAGTGGGGGCAGTCTATGAGATCATGCTTGGTTGTGATAAAGGCCAAAGATGTGCGTGGGCTGCCAGTACTATTCCTATTGTGCGCATGAACCCTGTTCACTATCTGCGAACTCTAGACAAGCTCCGTTGCCTCTCTAGGCTGAGCCCGCACAGGCTGCGTGTGTGAGGAGGGTCACAATCTGACCCAGCTTTGCTTCCTGGAAATCCCTTTTCCTTTCCCATACTCTTGCTCTCCTTCTCTGTTCCAGGGTCTCAGGGTCTTGGCCTTAGGGGCTGGAAGTACAAAGCGCTCCCAGGTGGTGCCCAGCTAGGGGTGCCTGGAGCCGAAGGGGGCCGGAACTTACCAATGAGAAGGAACTTCCGTCGGTCCCCGTAGAGTTTCTGCAGGCCTGCACAGTAGTCCTGGATAGGCAGCCCCAGGCGATAGTCGCGCAGCAGCATTGCAAACTGCTGGATCTCAGGGGGACCCAGCTTACTTCGCAGCTGTGGAAGTAAGGGACATGTTGTGGAAAAAATCTTTTTGTACACTGTGAAGATGTGTCACTCCGATTAGTTTAATAAAAAGCTGAATGGCCAATAGCGTGGCAGGATTTCTGGGCAGAGATGATGCTGGGAAGAAGAAAGTGACAAAAGTGGTGACTCAAGGAGAGACACAGCAAGGATGGGCAGCACAGAGATGAGGTAATAAAGCCACGAGGCCGAAGGTAAATTAATAGAAATGGGTTAATTTAAGTTATAAGACCTAGTTAGAAACAAGCCTAAGCTACAGGCCAAGCTTTCATAATTAATAATCAGTCTCTGTGTCATATTTTGGGAACTGGTAGCCCAAAGAAAAATCTATCTACAGGGACACCCTTGGAGACCAGTCACAGAGTGCAACAAAACTCGGCTCCTACTAAAAATGCTTGTGTTCTCCCTGGCAGCCTGCCTGGCCTGGTCTGCCTCCAAAACTCTCCACTGCCCACTGGGAGAATATCTGTCCTTTGCATCGAGGAGTGGGATGTGGGTTCAGCTTCCGGAGCCCCAGTCCTTTGGTGACCTCTGTGGTGTCAGGAAGTCACTATCTCTCTAACCCTTGCTTTCCTCCTCTGCACTTGTGGTGAGGAGAGAACCCACCCACACACGCGCGCACGCGCGCGCGCGCACACACACACACACACGCACGCACGCACGCACGCACGCACGCACACACACTTGGGGTTGTTGAAAAGATCAAAGACCAAACACCTGAAAGGTGCTTGGAACATTCAGTGCTGGCTGATCCCAGTCAAGGCTTTCCTGTGCTGGCCTGGCCTCTCCCAGTCACACCTCCCTCCCTGGCCTCTGAGCTCTCACATACAATCCCTGCAATGCACCATGCATGCTGCAGAGCACTGCCACCCCAACTCACCGTGACCATGTAGTCCTGTAGCTGCTCGAAGGCCCAGCTGCTATGGTCGATACCGCTGCAGTGGGAGCCATGCAAAGACGGCGTGGACGTACCGCTGTAACATGCTTCAAACGTGTCCTGGGAGCCATTGCTGTGGAGACAAGAGGGCAACCCTCACCAGCCTCCATTCCTTTCCCCAGGGCAGGCTGAATACCGGTGCTCCAGGCCCCATTCTAGACCTCATCCTGCCCTCCAAGGCCCTTCATGAGGCCCAGCAATCTTCCAAGCCCTCTCCTGCTCTCAGAGCTCTGGTCATACTGTCTTCCCTACATTTGCTCATGCTGTTCCCTGTGCCTGGAATCCTTGCTCCTCCCCACTGTGTCTTTCGTGTCTGGTGTTACAGCCACAGGGCCTCTACCTGCTTGTTCTGAATCCTTGCTGTTCCTGCGCAGCTGCATTCATTCTCTGCATGGAACACCCTGTCCATTTTATCCCCAGCTCAACTATCATCAGTCAGTTCTGGGAAGCCCTTTTGGTTCCTAAATAAGGTGGAGTCCTCTTCTGACTCTCCCATAGCCCAGGAAGCTTCTCTTTAGTGTGTGATATCATCAATGCTGACTGCCTCCTCTGCTAAATTGTGTGGTCCTTTCTGTCTCCTTCTCGATTCCTATCTGTAAACCAGGCTTCCTGGCTCATCGTGGAGGTTTTGACAGGGTCTCACCTATCCTAGATTGGCTCTAAACTCTCCATGTAGCGGAGATTAGCCTTGAACTTTTGATCCTCCTGCTTCCACCTCCCAAGTTCTGGGATCACAGGCACGAACGACCAAACCAGGTTCATGCAGTGATGGGAGCTGGAACCAGGACTTCTGAAGGGCTAGACAAACACTCTCTCAACTCAGGTGTGCTCCTAGCCCTATGTAGGAAGTTCTCTTTATTAACTGCTTTTAAAATAAGATGTTTACCCTGGGCTCCTACCTCACTTTTTTAAAAACTTGTTTCAGAATCACCTTCTATTATTATCTACAGGACAGCAAAAATTCCTGGCTAAGAGTGTGTACTCTTTTAGCTTGTTCCTTGAGTCATGGTCTCATGTTGCCCAGGCTAGCCTCAAAATCAACTACATAGCTGAAGTGGGCTTTGAACCTATGATCTTCTGGCTTCCAACTCCTAAATGCTGGGACCAGAGACCTGGCAAGGGTTTAGACTCCTGAGTTCACATCCCAGCTTACTTGTGCTCATATCCCAGGTCTATGCAGTTTGCTGTCTGTTTGACTTGCAGTGCTAAACTTTGTTTCCTAGTCCTCAGCTTCTCCATCTGTAAAATGGGATGATGAAGATTGGTGTCATTGTGAAAATGACAGGAATTAATACTTTAAAGCACTTCAGGTCACAGACCCTTTGTAAAAGACAACTAGCCACATAGTTGTTAACAAAAGCCACTGACATGTTTTACAGCATACAGCAAACCCACAAATATGTCCTTAGTGTGATTTGCTCTCCTCAGCCAACTCATGTTGGTTATGTGCTAGCCTATGTGTACACAGGCTTAGGAAGGCAAATGTAGTGCCAATATTAACAATTGCGGATAGGGCATACTACTCTCCAACAGGAGCTATCATTATAGCTCAGAACTCTATTGGGTTTAAAATGAAAATCCCATCTCTGAGGAAACTCCTCAATCCTGAGTAAACTGGGATAGGCAATATTCTTAATAGAATTCTGTAACTTTTTCAAAGGTCGTTTCCCCGTATCCCAGGTCGGCATGAAACTCACCATGTAGCCAAGGCTGACCTTGACCTTCTGATTCTCTTGCTTCCACCTTCCCAGTGCAGAGGTTACAGGTGTGCATCATTTATATAGAGTTAGGGATCGAATCAGGGCTGTGTGCACAGCTAGGGAAGTATTCCGCCAACTGAGCTACAACCCCAGCACCCAGAATGCTGTTTTACCCTACATTTTCCAGGCTTGTTTACAGCTAGTTCTGACCAATGGGCCAAGTTCTGGTATGCATGCGCCCGTGTGGGTGCATGCGTTGCTAGGGATGGAACCCAGCGTCTTTTGTATGTTAGGCATTCATGGTGATGCTGAAGTACCCCCTGGCCTCCATCCTCCCTATAGAGGCTCTTAGTGTGCTGTTGCGTGGCTGCAGCTACGCTTAGACCATGAGGTCACTCTGAGGATGGTGACCGGAAGAGAGGCTCAGGGCCCAGAGGACCAGGAAGCCCCGAACTCTTGTTACATTTTACGGGAAAAAAAAAAGACAAGAAAACAAATGCTGTCTTTGCAAACCTATCCTCCTCAGGGGTTTCTATTATACAGAGTCAACACTAAAGTAAACCAGCATTGTTTCCAGTATTAGCTTTAATTTTGGACTCTGCAGGCCACTAAACCTAGGAGACCTGAAGATCTCTGTGGACCCAGGTCTGAGTTTGGGCATCTCTAGGTTTCTCAGGATCTGTGCTGGGCTCTGCTTACCTCCCACCCTCAACAGAAATCAGGGTTTGGTCCCTTTCCCCCACACACTCTAGAGGAGTGGCCCTGCTTGGGTAGGGGTGAGGAGAAAGAGTGGCATTCTCAACAAAGGTGATACTCACAAGGAGCTGCAGCAGCTCAAGTCGGCGTCGTAGGCAAATGTCCCATCCGTGCGGCAACTCTCACCTGAGACCAGCATACAGAAGAACTGTCAGAAGTGACATGCAGGGACCACTATCTTAGGCTCCCTGAAGCCCCAACTTTAGTGGCACCGTGGGATTTATCTCCAGTCCAGCCCTGACACACAGCCAACCTTGGGCATCTAACCTCCCTGATCTTAGCCTTCCTCAGTGTCCAGGCTCATAGCATCTGCCTATTTGATAGGCTCTGGGGAATGGCAAATGAGGGCCAGTGGGGGAATGTTAATAAGTGTGTGTTTAGGTGAGTCAGGAAGATTCTGCAGGGGGAAAGGGGGCTGGAAGTGTGAAAGGAAGGCAGTGTTATTCGTGGAGAACGCGCCTCCCCTTTAGCCTGCTCTTCATCTGTCCAGGCATGGCCTTCTCATCCCAGCTCACTCGGGGTCACTCGGTCACCCTGACTTCTCAGAGCCCAGTTCCTCATTGCAGGTTCTCACAACACTGTGGTTTGACATTTATCTGTGTGACTAGCCCATGCAAGCTGCAGGAAGGAGGGGCTGTGCCTCAGTTTGCCCACCATCTTGCAGATTACAACTGGGCCTGAGACAGTAAGTGCTCAGTAAATATCTGTTGAATGAATGAACCTGTCGACTACCAGAGGAGTGTTCTCATTTCTTCGCCCAGCATCCTGGTGGGACCTGATGAGACACCCCAGCTTCCCAGCAGGCACGGCTCCTGTGGGTAGAAGGGTCTTCAGAAAGCCAGTGCCCCAGTTTCTGGAGCTGTGCAAACAGAGACCACCCTGTAGCAGGCTGTGGAGGAGTGACTTCACTCAGTGACCTTAAGTGGAGCACACAGAGAGGCTGTTGCAAATAGAGGCTTTGGATCTAGACAGACTGGGTTTGAATTCTGACTCTGACTTACCAGCTGTGTGACCTGTGACAATTTATTGACTACTCTGAGACTCAGTGTTTTTTATTGTAAAGCTGGATCCACAGGGCGTCAGAAAGGCTCCTTGTCCTTTTTCTTTTCCTTTCAAGACAGGGTCTCACTATGTAGTCCTACCCACCGGGAACTTGCTATGTAGACCAGTCTGGTCTTGAATACACAGAGATCTGCTTGCCTCTGCCTCCCAAGAGCTGAGACTAAAGATGTGTACCACCACCATGCCTAGATCTTTTTCTTTTTTTAAGACAAGGTTTCTCGACTGTAGCTCAGGCTGACCTTAAACTTTGATCCTCCTGCCTTAATTTCAATTGGCATACGCCATCATGTCTAGCTCTGAGAGGTTTTTATTTACACAAAATCAGTTTTGTGTTGTGCTTGGGCTTGAGTCTGCCTTTGCCATGGTGCCCATGTGGACATCAGAGGACAACTTTCAGGACTCGGTTTCTCCTTCACCCTGCGGTCCTGAGGATTGAACTCAGGTTGTCAGGCTTGGCAGCAGGCACCTTTCCCCACTGAGACATCTCACCAGCCCAGGCTCTGACATTTTTCATTTATCTGAAGATTGCCTGCCTATCGTCTATGGTGTGCCCAGTCCTGTGCTATGTGGACGAGACGAGTAAGTTGCTATGAAGATTCAAGAAGGCTTGGCACCTTGCTATTGTGCTTGGTGCATATTTGTCACTCCACAAATGCCCCTACTAGTCTCACTTTAATTCCAACCCTTGATTGCATACATGGACTAATCCAGAAATGTCAGCTTAGGAGCCTCATGGGGTGAGATGGTTCAGTTAGCCGACAATACAGGAGCTCAACTTTCTACAAAGCAGGGACATCCAATACAAGAGAGAAGTTTCAAGTGCCCAAGTTCAAACTCATCCCATACTTGACAACTTAATCATCTCTTAAGAGGTCATCATGTTGATTGACATTCTAATATGTAAACCCCTGGAACTGGGGTACAGCTCAGAACCCTCAAAGGCCTTTATCAGCCCTGACTCTAGGACATCCAGCCTTTCCCGGTGCTTCATGGGAGTTTGGTACTCACTGCAGCTGGAGAGCCAAGGCCGCTTTGGTGTGGATCTGTAGTGGTAGCCGGCCCGGTCTACACACTCGATGCTCTGGTCCCCATAGATGATCTGGAAGACTTGACAGATGAGTGCACAGGACTCCTCAGCAGCATCCTGCTCCAGGGGGAGGAAAGAGAGCTCAGCTCTTACCCATTATTAGGGCACCCCTGCTTCTCCAGAAGCAGTATGAGCCAGCACTGAGACACACACCTACAGACCCCCTTAAGCCAATTTCAAAGACATTTTCTCTGAAAATTATATAGCTCCTCTCTTGTTCTTTTTTTTTTTTTTTTTTTTTTTTTTTTTGGTTTTTCGAGACAGGGTTTCTCTGTAGCTTTGGAGCCTGTCCTGGAACTCACTTTGTAGAACAGCCTGGCCTCGAACTCACAGAGATCCGCCTGCCTCCGCCTCACGAGTGCTGGGATTAAAGGCGTGCGCCACCACCACCCGGCATTCCTCTCTTGTTCTTATGACCTTTCTTATAGAATCCAGAATTGACTCTGGCTCCTCTGCCATGAAGGTACATTCCAGCTTCGCAGGGGATTCATGATCTGTCATGAAATTTATCTAACACAAGGGCTCATCTAAGGGCTCATCTAACTTACTGCACAGCAGGTGAAGCCCAGGGTAGAGATGAAACACTTCAAATAATCAAAATCTTAGGCTCAGTGCTGTTACTATTACTGAACACAATATACAGCTATAGGCCACGTGGTACCCAATGTAATCATGGAAGCAATGCAATAATAGTAGCATCTGGTAGAAGGAAGAGGGGCTTGGGCAAAGCTTTGGAGATTGTACATTTGAGGAGGAATTCACCTCAGAATTATTGCCAATTATTCTGCAATAACTGATTTAAAAAGTCATGCATATGAGTATACTGCCTCGAAATAAACCTAAGGTAAAACTTAAGATGTAATTCAGAATGGGTATCTGTGGTCATAGCAGGTACTGATGTTTACACCAGGGCTTACCATAACCCTAGAGTAGACAGGTCAGAGAAGACCCCTATTTTATAGTTAATGCTGGCACCAGGAGTTTTAGCTCTGACTGCTGTTCTTGGGACCACTGTGCATCAGACAGGAGTCAAGAGCTCAGACCCCCAGAAAGCAACTCATTTACTTATTCACTCCACCACCAAGCCAGGATAGGTAAGGCACATCGTTATCTCTGTCTGGGATGCAATTTGCAGGCCCTTGCTTCATTTTAAACAGTTCAAGCTAAATTTTCCTGTTGAAACATGGTCTCTTCCTCCATTGCCTATCATACGGGCCACTCATTTCCTATCAGAGCCAGCATGACTCACCTGATCCCAGGTTTTTTATGTGTGTCTGTCATTATTCATTTCCTCATCACCCTGTCAAGTTTCCAGGATAAAGTTGTGTTGGGTGAGGCAGTAGAATACAGAATGTAAGAAAGGGCTGAGCTGATAGGGTGGAGCATGACAACCTTTCCCAGCTGGAGAAGATGGAGCTGGGTATGGACAGTGCAGGACATAGGAGTTGCATATATTTAAAAATAAGGCCAGTGGGATGTGTTGACAGAAGTGTGTGTGTGTGTGTGTGTGTGTGTGTGTGTGTGTGTGTGTAAGACTGAGACAGAGACAGAGGCAGGGACAGAGACAGACAGACCGACAGATGGACCAAGGACCATGGCAAGGTTTCAGCCCGAGGCATCAAGAATGGAGCTGCCATTCAGTGAGCCATGGAGATGAAGCTCCTTTCAGATTTGGGAGGGACCTGGGAGCTCCATTGGGACAAATTCATGCTGCAATGACAGACAGACCCTGGAAAAGCAGGCTGAGTGGAGATCTGGATAGATGAAATTCAGGGTGTTCTCCAGGGCTTAGAAGACGGCAGAGTCAAAATCGCCTAGAAACAAGTGCGGGTAAAGGAGAGAAGATTGGGGATAGCATCTGGGCAACCCCTACTTAGGGGCTGAAGAGAAAAGGAGGTGCCAGCTTTCCAAGAAGGGGCGTGGGGTGGGGGAGAACCAAAGAAGGAGAGCTAGACACCAAGTGAGAAAGCTCAGGGCGGGGGCCTGAGCCACAGTGCTGCTTCCGGGGACTGGCTACCTCTCCCTGTAGACAGGCATACTCACCGAGAGCCCAGGACCAGGGGAAATGTTTGGAAGGCTTAAGTCTTAAAAATGCCTGCTAGACTGGGTACCCCTTGAGGGAGGACACCAAATGGCTCCATAGACACAACAACTAGCCCAATGTGGAGCACACAGTTGGCACTTAACAAATATCATATAACCATCCGGGAGGCAGAGGCTGGAGGATCTCTGTGAGTTTGAGGCCAGCCTGGTCTACAGAGCAAGTTCCAGGACAGCCAGGGCTACACAGAGAAACCCTGCCTTGAAAAACAGCACACACACACACACACACACACACACACACACACACACACACACACACACACACACACACACACACACATTCGAGTGAGAGCACGGGTGAATGGGGACACATGTGATAGGCAGGGCAGGCAAGTATGACGGCAAGGCTTCTGCTTAGGTGGCTGGCTACCTTAGTTACCAAGAGTAAGGCTCTGAACTTCCTTCCCAGGCTTCGAATCTTGAAGCCACCTGCTTTCCGCAGGACCTAAACTTTGAGTCTTCGTCCTTCCCTAAGGAATGGGAATGAATAGGTGTCGTATTTATCCTAGGGGCTGCTGTGGAGATTAAGTGTTAATGTTGCTCCGTGCGTCTGTCTTGGGTGGGTGCTAAATTCGTGGTGCTACTAGTGCGACTGTCACTGTCAGGGTGGTGGTGCCAACACTTCCTCACGCTCACCCTGTTGGCCACAGCTAGGATGACCAGATTGCAGTAGGCATCGGGGCTGGGGTTCTGGGGATCCAGGGGGTTGGGGCCGGTGTGGCGTCGCTCCCAGCTGCCGCCGACGCCGCTACCCGCCTGCCGCCGCTCCCAGCTGCCGCCTGGCTTGCCCGCGCCGCCCCCCGCATGCCGCCGCTCCCAGCTGCCGCTGAACGTCTGTCGCCGCTCCCAGCTGCCCGACGTCCGCGCTCCCGCGCGCTGCCGCTCCAGGCTGCCACCACCGCCAGCCGCCCGGGCCTCGGCGCCCGCGCCCCCGCCCCACGCCATGCGCCAGTCCAAGCTGCAGATGGTGTGGCGTCGCTCGGCCGTGCCCACCCGCCGCTTTTCGGGCGCAGCGCCCGGAGGGCCGGGATCGCGCCCCGAACCTCCTGGGCTGGAGTCCACGCCCGCCGGCACCGGGTCCACGCCCAGACCTAAGGGAGGCGGGAGATGGGAGTCAGCAGCAGGAGACTGCGGCCTTCGGAGGCCACCCGGAGGGCCACCGCACAGTTCCGGGGTCCCTGCTCTACGGCCCCGCCCAGCACCAGAGCCCAGGGGCTGACAGTGACTTTTGGGTCCCGCCCTGAGCCTAAGACTCCGCCTCTGGCCTTGGCTCCGCCCCAGACCTCCCGGGTGGCGGTCGCATAGTTCCCAGCCGCCTCTACACACCCTGTTGACCTGCCTTCTGACTTGAAGGTGTAGTCCAAGTTGCCCCTTTTCTCTGTACCCTTTCATTTGGACAGTGACCCTGGTCTAAGTATCCCTGCCTTCTAGTACGACTTTCTTGCTGTCTTCAGTCCCACCCCCAAGTAGCTGACTGAAACCTCCAGAAAGTCCAGGCTCAGTCCTCTCCTAGCCCGAGGATGCCCCCTACTGTCAGAGCCGAAGGGTTTTGTCTTCTATCGTCCCCTTTAATGTTGAACTAAAGTAATGTTGAACTAAAGTAGCTCTGCGTTGAACTCAGGACTCCAACTTCTCCCTAGCCAACCTCCTCAATCTGATCAGTCTGCCCACCCATCATCCCTGGCTCTCTGGTCTTGCCTATAGCTTCTTCTGCTTGCCCTTAGCCTCAGAATAGAGTGCTCAGGTTTTCTGCCATCCCTCTCCCAGCCTCGGACCCATCCCCGGTGCCCTTCACTCAATGGTCCCACCAGGGCAGATTGGCCTCCCATCGCCCTCCTCCACACCGCACCAGTTTTAAGCACTAGTAGATGCAGCGCGTCGTCCTGCAGGTAGGAGGCAGCAGCGATCTCGTGCGTGGGGATGCGCAGGATGAGCTCCTCGTTGTCCCTCCAGGTGAGCAGCAGGCAGCGGGCCGACAGGCTCAGGATGCTGTCCTGCTCCGGCGTGGTCTTCAGAGGCAGCTCCTTCAACTGCTGCGGGTGGGTCGGATCATCTGAGTCCCCAGGAATTGGGCTAAGGGAGGGGAAAGGGAAGGAGGCCCTGCTCTCCCCCTCCTCCCCAGCGTCTCACCCTGGCGGTGTCCAGTAGCTCCAGGAGCTCGTCTCGGCTGGAGGGGTTCAGTGAGGAAGTCACCCAGGTGAGGTGGCCCAGAAACTGGATGGGAAATGGGAGGTCACTGTGAAACCTTGGGAGATTCTAGCCTCTTCGTTAATGTAGGACAGTTTGAAGTAATCAAATTAATAATAACCAGTGTGATGGCGAATTTTGACTGTCAGCTGGTCTACATATGGAATCAACTCAAACCCAACCAGCTGGGCACTACTGTGAAGGATTCTCCTGGTTGTATTATTTGCATTCAGAGGTTCAGCTTGAATCCGGGCCACACCTTCTGGTGGCAGCCCACATTAAAAGACATGGAAGAAGGGCGCTTTCGATTTTTGCCGGCTTTCCCTCACTCTCGCTGGCAGATTCATTCATCCTGCTGCAGAAGCATTCCTTCTGTGGTATTAGATCTTAACTCTTCAGGACTTCTACAAAGACTGAGAACCAACTGAGACGTACGCCTCATAAACTAAACAACTATCAGATTGTTGGCTTTTCTGTTACAAGACTGTCGTTGAACTGGATGGACCACAGCCTGTAAACCACCCTAATCTCAATCTCTCTGTGTGTCTGTGTCTGTGTCTGTCTGTCTGTCTCTCTCTCTCTTTCTCTCATTCCTCTAAGAACCTTGACTAGTATAGCCTGGTAGCTAGGACTGGTTCTGAGTTTACAGATATGTATACACGCAGACGCACACTTTTCCCATCCACTCACCCTTGCTTTCAGGATTAGCAGGCTAAACACAGTACAGCTAACCAAAAGTCTGGCCCGAGATTACAGCTAGAAAGGGTAAGACTGGCCAGGCTGTAGCGGTGCATGCTAATCCAGAACTTGGGAGGTAGAAGCAGGAACTTTAAGAGTCCAAGGTCATCCTTGGGTACATAGCAAGTTCAAGACCTCCCTGGGTGTCCTCCCTGTGGGGGTAGAGAGAAGGCTTGATTGATGGCATGTGCCAAAGCCCACCTTCCAACAGCTAGCTGATATGCACTAACACATGGTCAATCTCACTCTATGAGGAAGTAAAAGTCACTAATATAGTGCCCCCCCCCCGCCCGAATGCCATGCTGAAGATCAGGATTTGAGTGTCTCTGCATGCTAGGCCAGACTCTACCATTTTTCATGTTTATGTGTGTGCATGTTCCTGTGAGTGAATGCTGGCATATGCCACAGCACCTGTGTGGAAGTCAGGGGATGTGCTCTTGCCTTCCACATTGTCAGAGGTGGTATGGGGGGGGGTCTGGTTTATACTTCACATGCCAGATAAGCTGGCTCCCAAGCTTTCAGGGATTCTCCGTCTCTACCTCCCATCTTGACTGCGTGGGCCTTTTAGGGTCACAGGTGCATGCTTTGTGTGCACCTGGTTTTGCAGGGGATTTGCACCCGGGCTCTCAAATTAGCCAGAAAGTGCTTTATCCATTGAACCATTCCCTTCTCTACACCTGCCCCAGGCTCTACTATTAAATCTTGAAGGAACCCTGGGAATTTACTTGCCCAGTGGCTCTCCACACTCCATGCATTATTAATCCTTTTAACAACCTCATTGCAGATTAAATGGGCAGAAGTATTGAATTAATACATCATTTCTTTAAAAAAATGATGTTCTCTTGCCAGAAGGTAGGGGCAGAAGCATGTGGATCTCTGTGAGTTCGAGGCCAGCCTGATCTACAGAGTGAGTTCCAGGATAGCCAGGGCTACACAGAGAAACCCTGTCTCAATCAAACAAACAATAAAAGTAATAAAAAAACTTTACCCTGGGAGTTGCCAACCAATGACTGCTCTAACTTGAGGCCCACATCACAAGAGGGAGCTCATGCTCAACACTGACTGGATAACCAGGAACCTTAAGCTGGATGACTCAGAGTCCTAGGATAGAACCAAACAAAACTGACCAAAAAAAAATCAATTGATTCCTAATGCTATTCTGCCATACTCATGTATCATTGTCTAGCCCAATCATCATCAGACAGGCTTCTTCTGGCAGCTGATGGGAGCAGATGCAGAGACCCACAACCAAACTTTAGGCAGAGCTTAGGGAACCCTGTGGGAAAGGGAGAGGAAGGATTCTAGGAGCCAGATGGGTCAAGAACACCATGAGAACACAGTCCACAGAATCAACTAATCAGGGTTCACAGGGACTCACAGAAACTGAAGCAGCAGCCACAGAGCCTGTATGGGTCTACCCCAGGCTCTCTGTGCATATGGTGCGGTCGTTTAGATCGGGGTTTTTGTGGGACTTTTAGCAGTAGGAGTGGGGGGTGTCTCTGACTCTTTAGCCTGATCTTGGGACCCTTTTTCTCCTTCTGTGCTACCTGACCCAGTCTCGATAGGAGGTTTGTGTCTAGTCTTAATGCATCTTGTTATGCTGTGTTTGTCTGATATCCCTGGAAGGCCTGCTCTTTTCCAAAGTGAAACAGAGGAGCAGTGGATCTGAGGGACAGGAGAGGTTGGGGAGAGGGGAGCTGGGAGGATTTGAGGAAGAGGGGGTTGTGATCAGGATGTTTTACATGAGAGAAGAATTTAAAAAAAGAAAAGATGATGCTCTCAGTCACTATGTGAGTTCCCCATCCATTCTGTTATAACATCATTATCATTTGAATGCTATTATTCAGTATAAGAATTAACTTTTTGTTACTTTAAATTGCAGTCTTCTGGGTGAATCTCACCATTCATATCTTTTCTTTTTATTCTGTAAATTTTCAGCTCCTGGTTTTTAAACATATTCATTTTCTGGTTTTTCTATATTTATAGGGTTGTCAGATAAAATACAAGAAGTCAGCTAAACAACAATTATGTTTTTAGGATTTTTTGTACTTTTAGTTCCATTTAACATTTAGAACATATTTATGCTAAAGAAATAATCACTGCTCATCTGCAATTTAAATTTGATCAGGTAACCTGTTTGTTAAATGCCCACATCCTACCTCACACCAATCTTTGGCTGATGAGAACCTGTTTCCCTCCCCAATGCTCCCCCACAGTGGTTCTAAAATAGAAGTAAAGCTTTTGAGTAGTACAAGAATCCTCCGAGAGTCCTCTATTATGGCTCCTCCAAATATGCCCTCCTCAGCCCTGCCTCCTGTACTGGACAGGCAGCCTAGGGCCTCCAGAATGCCCGGCGAGTGCTCTACCACTAAGCCACATGCCCAGCCTCTGCCCTGCCTTTAACTTGGACACTGAATAATGGAGACTGCAGACAAAAATCTCATGAGTAGGCTGAGCTTTTGGGAACACAGCACAGTTTCCCATTCCGTCTCCTGCGGGGGTGGGTTCTGAATCCCACCTTACGACAGGAATGCTGGGGCCTCAGTGAGTAGGTGTCACCTACTGAGGATACGCAGCCTGTGGCTGTGAGGTAGGAGGCTGTTCCCCAAGAGCCACAGCCTTTTTCATGTGACACAGGTGTGTCAGGGGTTGGCGTGCCTCCAAGGTACCCCTCCCCCACCCCACCGACCTTCTCATGCTCACCTTGACCTCTTTCTCCAGGTAGTCACACAGCAGGATGTGGGGGTTGATGAGGTAGTCAGGAGGATAGAGGGGCGTAGAATGCAGGGGCCTGCGACTGACACTGCTCCTGAAGGCAGCCTGTCGTGCAGCCTTCGGAAACACCAGCCTTTTGATGGGGGACACAAAGCCCTGGGGGAGACAGCAGAGTCCCAGTAGCAACGGCATTTGCTTTACTGAGTGCTCATGAGCTCAGCTCTACTTCTACAACCTAAGTTAATCCTCCTAAAACTGCAAGAGGAGCAGCCGCCGTGGCTCCCCTTTTCTAGCTGAAGCAGCGAGACCCCAGATTGAGAGCTAGAACACCAGCCGGGGACAGTCCAGGTGGGGTATCCCAGTTCCCCAACCTCCCTGGGGGGAGAGTGATGTTCCTGCCAGCCAGACTCAAAGAGTGACCAAGGCTGGGGGCTACGAGGAGGATGCTTAGGCATTTGTTAAACTATTGCCTGTTTGTGAGTTAGAAATAGATGTAAGTATACTCCAGAGGCACCAGTGTAAAAAGGCCCAGGATGGATCAAGGCTACAGGTGCAGACTCCAGGGTGCAGCCCAACCTAGCAGCACCTGGAGCTCAGAGAACGTGTAAGATTTGCTCTAGAGCTGCTGTTCTAGACAGGCGTTTCTGGGTCCATAGCAGTAAAACCTGGGAATCTGAGAGAAAAGCTGTTTCTTTGGTCCCATTCTAGACCCACTGAATCTGAAGCCCTGGGGGCTTCCCTCCCTGATGGCTTTCTAGAACTGTCTTGGCAGTTCCTGAAGCTCTGGGTGCTGGGACTACATATACCCCAGCCAAGCAAACCACAAATTCTGGTAGCATATGTTGTATGCTGCTTACTTAGCTTCGCCACAAGTACAAACAGGAGAAGCTGCTCTGCTGTCTAGGGGTGTGCACTCAAGTCTACATGTTCATTCAACAAATATTCATTCACGCCTGCCTGCCTGCACCCTGTGCTGGGTGTCAGGTGCCAGGATTCGGGAAACACTAGATCCCAGTCTTGCCTCCAGGGTCATGACAAGTGACCTAAACTCATACATATCAGACTTGACTGTGCTTGAGAATTCTGATTCAGTAGGTCTGGGGTGGCACCCGAGACTGCATTTCTAACAAGTCATGGGGGTATCAATACTGTGTGTGTGCGCGCGCGTGTGCATGTGTGTACTCAAGTGCCTGCATGTGTGCCTGTGTGTGTGTGTGTGTGTGCGCGCGTGCGTGTCACATTCACACCTGTGGTGGTCATAGGACAAGCTCGGGTGTTGCCGGGAGCTGTCCACCAAGCAGGCCAGGCTGGTTGGCCAGCGAGCTGCAGCCATCTGCTGTCTTGTTCTCCCCAACAGTGGGATTACAAAGATACGCCACTACACCAGCTTTTAAAAAAATGTGGGTTCAGATCCTCATGATTGTGCAGCAAGCACTTTACCAACTGAATCATCTCCCAGGTTCTCACATTGCTTATCAAGAATCTAGGCTAGTGGTTCTCAAATGTGGTTTCATAACCTGGGAGCTGATTACAGGTACAGTCTTTAACCCGTGCGTCAGAGCCCGGAGCTGAGACCCTATGGTCTCAGTGATTCTGACCTACAGCCTCTCAAGTCTCTGAGGGACCATCATGGGGTCTGCAGAAGCATTTGGGAGCTCTGAAAAATGGGAGCCAGAAATCTGGGAGAAGCTCTCTAAGCAGAGGACACAGATGAACAAGACTCCAGGGATGTCAAAAGTGGAGTGAGACGAGTCTGAGAGCACTGTACTGAGAGCAGTCCATCTATCATGGCTGGATTGTAAAAGACAAGTCCTGAGAGCCTTTGGTGCCAGCTGGAGCTAGGATGTTTTTCTGTACCTGTGATTGGTGTGTGCCCCCGTTCATCCATCTGTCCATCCGTCTGTCTGTCTGTCTACCCCCAGTGGTTCAGCCCTGGTCTCCCCTCCATCCCCATCTTACTATACAGTATTCCTTGTTCCCATCTCCAGATGTTCAACTGTTCTTTTCTAGTTCCTACCAAGGAAGGAACACACTGTTCCTTAGCCCCAAACACTCTTCCCTGCTTGTTTTCCTTGTACCTGTCGGTTCATCTGCCCAACTCAGCAATCTAAGACTGGGTACTGAGCATAGTGGCTTTGTGCAACATTTACATTTATTCCAAGTGCTGCCTTTTGAAAAAAGTAATTGTTTCTCTCACTAGACTGCGAGCCCCCAGGAAGAAGTGGGACCATATTTGACATTGGTCATCACTGTCATCCCTAGCACAAGGCACAGTTCATAGCACATAACAGGTGCTCAATAAGTATCTATCAAAAGAATAGGCCTTACTGGGTGAGTTCTAGCACTCAGGAGGCTGAAGCAGGAGAGTTGCTGTGAGTTTGAGATCATCCTGGGCTACGTAGTGAGTTCAAGATCAGCCTGGGTTACATGGCTAGACCCCTGTCTCATAAATCAATGCATAGACCCAAGAGAGGACGTGTGCATATGTTGGCCCCAGAGATTCATATGACACATACTTTTATGTGTCAGTACCGGTAATTTTTATCTGGGGTCACACAGATACCTTTAGACTGTGCTCTGAACTCTCTTTGGACTTAAAATTCTTGCTATCAATTTGCAGTTTGGGGTATCAAACCTGGGTCCTCATGCGTGCTAGGCATGCATTTGGCCATAGAGGGACACCCCCAGCCCACTTTCACAATTTCTACACAGGTTCTTACTAAGTTGCCCAGACTGACCTTAAATTTGTACTCCTCCTGCCTCAGTCTCCATATATCTGGGATTGCATGCAAGTTACCTTATAAAGCATTCTGAACCAGGTTTCTTGGGGGAAGAGAGCTCTGGGGGGAAGGGGATGGGATGGGAGTTGGAATAGTAACAAATAGGAAAACCACTCAAATTCAGAAAAGGAGGAAGATGGGGAGGGGGCTTGGGATGGTTTGGCCGAGGAGCGAGTTCTTGCACAAAGGTGGGGAGGGCAGGTGTAGCTTGGGAGACAGCCAGGGAGCAGGTGGGAGGCCCCAGCCTGGCTGGGAAATCTGCCAGCCTATAATTACCTTGACTGGGACTTTCTATCTGGGTGAGAAGGGTATGTCCCTGCTGGGTGTCTGTCTGTCCCTCCATAATGTCTAGGAAGCAGGTTTCCTGGGAAGACCCCTTCTGTCTCTGGGGACAACATGGCAGAGGCCACTAAGAGTGAAGCCTAGAGCAGAGCCCAGCTGCCAGGGAGAAAGGAGTCCCCATGTGTGCCATTTGTCACCTCTGTGCCGGCTCACCTCTCTACCCCAGCTCAGGACCATTTCTCACCCCTGACCCTTACAGACTCCCACCTACCTTCTTGCCTTTCTTGGCTTCATATTCCATGGTGAACCGGCTGCTCCGCTCCTGCCACCCTCCTGGCCACCCCCGCCAGATCCCCCTCCATTTCCTTTGTTCTTTTTCCTGCCTGGTCGGAAACTCCACCAACACCAGAGTTCCTGCCCCTCCCATCTGACCGTGGGGGTTGGGGAAGATGGAGAACACTGCTTTAGGACCCATAACTAAAGGGTGGGAGCCAAAGATGGTGTCCAAGGGGCTCGGCAGCTGGAGCAGACCCAGGAGGGTTCCCCCAGGAGGTGATCACATTTAGGTCATTCCCTATGGTCTGCCACCAGCTTTGTTGGATGACTTTGGCAAGGTAAGACAGTAAAAGCCTCTCTCAAAGTCTGCTGCCTGCTTCTCTGTATACACCAGGAGAAAACCCAGCCTCTCCCTAAGAAATGAATGATGGGGGGGTTGATGCTTCAATTTAATTAAGATTAAATTAATAATAATAATGTTCATTACTTCTCAGAGAGGTGGTTTATGGGTGCCTCTGGGCCTGGCTGCCTGCTACTTACTTAACCACTTGTGCCTCAGTTTCCACATTTAGTTTGACCTCCTGGTAGCTTGACTAGGATTAAGTACACTTAAAAGAGCTCCTGGAATTTATTAAGCACTCAGTAAATATTGACTATTAGAGCTGAACGTGTTGCTCAATGGTAGAGCACACTGCAGCCTGCAGACCCTGGAGTCTGTCCTTAGCTTTGGGAATGAAAAAAAAAAAAAACAAAATTCTATTTCCTTATCTATGGCTCCTGGGCTGCTTAACTGTCTTTTTGGTATATTTCATCTCTCTTAGTCATCACTGTGTCTGGGAAGCATGATTTTTGTTACATAGAAATTTTAAAAATTCAATCTCATATGTAGATCCTGGCTGAAGGACACACAGGTGGTGTGCTCAGCAGACACTGTGTGTGTGTGTGTGTGTGTGTGTGTGTGTGTGTGTGTGTATGTATGTGATACAGTGAGTGTGAGGCACTGGGCCTTCTGACATACCTGGACCTTATGTCTAGTGTCCATACTACTGGGGCGCTCACCTCCTGGGTGCCTTTTATTGAGTGCACTTGGAAACATTTTGAGGGGCCCATGCACACCTGCCACAGCACCCAGTTTCTGGATGTTGGAGCTCTGGAACTGCTTTGCTGATGTCCCTGGATGTTATGAGTATTTTAAGAAAAGGTGACTCCAAAGCCCTGTCTTGCCAGTCAGGGTGTGGTAAGGAGGACATGGGCACCACTGATAGTAAAGACTGGGTGCCAGGGCTTGGAACTCTTTGCATGGTGTTTTTGAAAGACTGGGTATACAGAGGTCAGGGCTCTCATCACTTCTGGGTGTGGGAGCCACAGGAGACCCCCAGCCCTAGCCATTCATTCCTGTTTCTTTCCACACACCAGAAAGGAAATGGTCCAGGCAGCCTCTCCCTCCTAAGCCTCTATATCCTGCCTGTCATGTCTGAGCTCCGAGACATGAGACCTTCACTCAGCCTGTTGGGTCAATGAAAAGAGGCCAGGATGTGCAAACCCATCCCTGACTCTACTCTAAGCATCAGAATTGCTGCTTGACCCCTTGAGTCCATTTGGAATTCCCACCCTTGCTGTGATAGCAGGCTATGTCAGATTGTCCCCAGTGTTCCAGTAACTAGCTTTTGCAAGCTTTTCCATTTTACAGGACTTCAGCCTCCCCAACTATAAAATTGGACCTTATATTACTTCAAGAATCACTAATAGGACCAAATGTCACTGCTTGGAATCTCAACGAGGACAAGGAGTGTTTTAGAGACCCCCAGAAAGACAAAATGGCCTCTGTGTTGCCTGCTGCACCCACCCCAGAGCCATGAATAGATTAAGTGCTTAGTGTCAGTAAATCAGTCGGAGACAGATGACCTAGGTTCAATCATGAACGACCTTGAGCAATTCACATCGTGTCTCACAGCCTGGGAGTCCTCGAGTGTTAAAAGCAGGGTAATAATGGTGCTGTCCTTAGAAAGTTGTTCCAGGGACAAATGGAACAGAAACATAATGGCAGCACACATTACTGAAATCAGCCGGTGAATCAAAAATGAGAGACGTGGAACCAGCAAACTCCCTACTGTCAGCATCATCAGCATGGCAGGCAGGCTTCAGCCCCGGTTAAATCAGCCACTGGGATTGCTGTGGAGAGGATTATAAAAATCACCTCTGCGCCCAGAGGAAGAAAAGCTTATTGTCAATGGGAGTCATAGGCAGAGAGGGGAAATGTGACAGTGGCACCTGACTTGGACGAGCTGCTCCATGGCAAGCAGCTGGTGTGAGAAGGCATTTCTGCTCAGCCTTCAAGGGTGAATGCAGGCTTGCTTGCTCTAGGCAGAGGGAGCAGCTTCAGCAAACACGTGGCTCTGAGCTGTGAGAAACAGCCAATTCTGACCACAGGTGGCTCTGCCGAAGTCTAATAGTGAGTGCTTGCAGGGTTGGTTAGCTGAGCAGCTCACCGACGCTTTCAAGGTCCTTACATTTTTCCACTTTGTTTCCTGAGATAAGCTGTATATGCCACTAGATTTACATATTGAAGCCTTAAACCCTGGTACTTCAAGATGTGACAGGATTTGGATATATAGCTTTAATTTATTTTTAAATAGGGTTTTATATAGCCCAGACTGGCCTCAAACTCACTATGCAAATCAAAATGACCTTGCAATTCTGATCTTCCTGTTTCTATCTCCCTAGGGCAGGGATTACACTTGGTGCTGGGGAGGGAAATCAGGGCCTTGTGCATGCTAGGCAAGCATACTACCAAATGGGACTGGAATGCAGTTCAGTGTTAGGGCATTTGCCTTGCTTGGGGCCTTGATCCCATCTAAAGTACTGTAAAAACAAGTACCTCCACCCAAGTACTATAAAAACAAATGCCTCTCCCCAAGACAGGGCTTCTTTGTTTAGCCCTGGGCTGTCTATGGCAGTTTGAATGTAATTAGCCAACATAAACTTCTAAGGAGTGGCATTATTGGGAGGCCTGGCTTTGTTGAAGTAGGTGTGACCTTGTTGGAGGAAACGTGTCACTGTGGGGTTGGGCTTTGAGGTCTCCTATGCTCAAGCTACACTCAGAGAGACAGACCACTTCCTGTTGCCTAAGGGTCAAGATGTAGGATTCGTAGCTCCTTCTCTAGCATCCTGTTTGCCTGCATGCCACTATTTCACACCTCACACCATGATGATAATGGACTAAACCTCTGAAAAGTAAGTCATCCCAATTAATTGGTTTTTTTTCTTTATAAGTGTTGCTGTGGTCATTATGTCTCTTCACAGCAATTAAAACCCTATCTAAGACACTGTCCTAGAATTTGCTCTGTAAGACCAGGCTGGCCTCAAACTCTGAGATCTGTCTGCATCTGCCTACTGAGTTCAGAATTAATAGTGTGTGCTACCATGTTCAGGCTAGTTGTTTTTTTTTTTTTAATTAGAAGAAACAAATTGAAATCCCACTTAAGGGCTGGTATAAGAAAAGGAAGAGATTTGACACATATTAAAAAGACACTTGGGACATGTCGCACCTGCTGTGCGGCCTGCATCCGAGAATGTAGCGAGGTGGTCGGGATAGATGACACAGAGACCGGTCGGTTGCTTTAAGAAAACTTTATCTTCCCAAGTCAGCTTAGGAGAGAGCTCTCAGAAGAAATCTCAGGAGAAGTCTCTGGCGAAATCTCTGGAGAAGTCTCTCCAAGAAAAAAGAGTTTCCCTTTTTAAGGACTTTTGCCATCCATTTACATACCATTCTTTCCACTTCTCACCCTCCTGGCTGGTGGTTTAATCTCCAGCCCCAGAATCGGGGAGACACCACAGGGGGCAGGGACAGGAAGAGGCATCTAGCCATAGGGGGTGTGACAGTCATGGTATTTCAGTGAGCCAGCCCTTATCTGAGCCCTATCAAGCTTTAAAGCACTGAATTCTTTTCAGTAAACATTACATAGATGCCTGCTCCTAGGCCGAAGGGGAAGTGGGTTTCTGCTCAAGGTCTGGTGTCCCCACAGGGACATTTGTACAGAGACAAGTCTACCTGAGGACACAGTGAGAAGCCAGATCTGCAAGCCCAGGAAAGGGGCCTCAGGGGAAACCATCCCAGAATACCTTCATCTCAGACAGCCTCCAGAACTGTTAGAAAACAGTTTTCTTCCATGATCTTCTCTCTGTGGATCATATCATGAGAGCCCTGCAAGCAATGTATCTGGTAAGACGGCTTCAGAGTAACAGATGTGAAGTCCGTCACTCGGATGACACCACGGCTTCTCCTTCCTGTGTCTTTTACTCCAGGAGAAAACCTTGCAGGTGACTTTTCAAAATGCTTCCTCTAGGGGCTGGAGAGAGAGTTCAGCCATTAAGAACACTCGATGAACCCAAGTTCACTTCCCAGCCTTGTGTGGGAGGCTCACTGCAATGCCAAGAGATTTGACCATGCCTTCTTCAGGTCTCTTGACACCAGGCATACACATGGTATGCATTCAGGGAAATACTCACACTCATAAACAAACAAACACACAAAAGACCAAAAGCCTTTCCTAGGAGCCAGTGATCCAGGAACATCAATCAGGATCCATTTGGCTATTACTGAGATCCACCTAACAATGGTTTCAACATGATGATTAATCTCTTATCATAACAGCCAAGACACAGAGTACAGACAGGTATAACAGTGCTGTGTGTTGGGACCCAGCACATTCTGCCTTGCTGCAATCACTCCCATCGTTCCACTCTCCGTTGCAAGGTATCATTCCATCTAATTCAGCCAATACCTCAAGCTGAGAGTGGAGTGCTTTCCTCTCCTTTAGAGAGATGCCCTAAAGTAGCACTAAGTTCTGCATCTTAGGGGCCAGAACTTGGTTCTGTTGGAAATCACACCTGATGGCTCACTCTTAAAGGTGCCTCTAGCTAGCTTAGGTCCGTCCAACCATAAGTGAACAGAAAACACTAGCCTCCTAACTCCTGCCTGCTGGTCTAGTTACTCTCTGAAGCACCTACTCTCACCCTCAAGCCAGAGATTTAGAGTAGAAAACTCACAGCCAAGCATGTCTTGCAAGGTCATACATAAGATAAGCTTTAAAATAAACAAGAGGTGAATTGTAGAGATGAACCCATACATAGTTTTTACGGAACAAAAGACAAATGTAATAGAGGGAAACATAAGATCTAGATAGTACATACGATCATACCCTCTAGGTTATCCCAGTGACAGAGGAAGGGTCATGTCTTAGGATGTATAAAGATCGCCTTGTCCTCTGTCAGCGAGCCCCCTATTATAGGCTGATATCTGACTTTGCAAGACTGGAAGATAAACTGCTTCCTTTCAACTTCCCCGAGACTCCAATATGCTTATATGAAGCAAGGACTAGAATTTCTCACAGTTCTATGGCCACACAAAGCTGCAGAGGAGATTGGGAAATGGAGCCTTTTATTCTGAGTGCCCATGTAAGATAAGAAGTTCCTTCATATAAAAGGGGAATGTGGCTATATGAGAGTTCTGGAGCCTCTGGTTACCAGAACTAAGTCGTGTGCAATTGTGCACCACCAATCCCTAGCGAAGGAAGTGAATGCTCTGTGGTCAGTGATTTGAACACTGGGGCCAGCAACAGTATCTTTTGGAAGGCTTGTCAAAAAACACATTTCTGCAGGTATGGTAGTTAAGATGTCAGCTACGAGGGCTTACTGTGCCTGTACAGGACCCAGATTAGGTTCCCCGCACCCTCCTGAGGTGGCTCACAACCGCCTATAACTCGGGTTCCAGAGGATCTGGTGCTCTCTGGCCTCTGTGGATACCTGGATCTCACAGCACCCATGTAAAGGTCAGAGGGCAGTTTGCAGAAGTCTGTTCAGCCCTTCTACCCTGTGGGGCCTAGGGTCAAACCCAGGTCATCAGATTTGGCAGCAAAAGTGCTTCTCCTGGCCCTGTCAATGGTTAATCTCAATGCCAGTTTGGGGTGAGAGACATTAGTCAAGCACACTTCTGGATTTGCTCGTGAACTCCATTCTGGAGGCAATTGGCATGCGGCATACCAGCTGAAGGGGAATGCTGCCCTGAATACAGGCGGCACTGTCCGATGGTCGGAGCTCAGGCAGAGCAGAAGCTGAAGAGGAGGAAATTGGCTTTGCCTCTCTGTGCTTCTAGGCAAGTTACCGTACTCTACCACACAGACTTCCTGCCATGATGCTCTGCGTCAGAACACACCAGCCCTGAGACAAATGGAACTAAGATGCCATGGAGATGGCAAGCCATACTAAGTCCTGCCTCCTTTGGGGTTGTATTTTCAGAGTTGTGTTTGTTTGTCGCAGTGCTGGGTATCACTAACACGTCCCTCAAACAGTGCTCGAGGTCCGGCTCCCAATAAGTCAGCATCAGCCAAGAAGGTTGATCTTTATTCTCATGGTCAGGGGCCCACGAGAGGTTCTTCACCAAGAGAAGGTCACTATCAGATTTGTAGGAGGATGTAAGGAAGTGGTCCTCAGAGAGAGGTCTTCAGACCCCCTCACACCAGAATCTCCCAGATGCCTCTTTATCCTGGAGATGGGATCTAACGTAGCCCATGCTGCCTGGAACATCTGGTTTTCCTGTTTCCACCTCCTACACACTGAGTTTCCATGGTGTGCCACCGTTGCTGGCTGAGATGTTTGGAAATGCAGAAGCCTGTATGTGAAATGAACCCCCTCCATTGCTTCTCAGCCTTTTGGCTAAGATCGAGTGGTGTGAGCACCTTGCTAAAACTGGTTCTCGTACTCTTTGAAGTTCATGAAGAGCTAGAGTCAAACCCAGGGCTGGGTACAAATCAGTGGTAGTGTGTCCCCTAAGCATGTGCCTTGTACCCAATCCCCAGCATGGGAGTGTAGAAACCCTGACAGGAAGGCATCTCTTAGAACCAAGGTCCCCAGGAAGGTGAGCTCTTGGGTGCTGTTTACTGTTGTTGTTCACTGTCCCTAGACTTTTTCCATGGCACATGCATCATATACACTCAATGCACATCTCAGTTGAGCTGGCAACTTCAGGCTGGGCTTCGCTTTTGTAAGAATTCATTCTATGACCTTGGAAAAGTGTATTCATATATCTTACCCGTCCCCCCCCCTTTTTCTGTAAAATGTGCTTGGAGATAATCTCCAGAAAGGTTCAGTCTGAAATTGTGGTTGATTGACTGATATTCTATCCAATCAACGGGGAGGTCTGGAAAATGTCCCATTGTTTCCCATTCAAGTGCCTTTGAAGGATCCAGTGGTCTTCTTCCTTACCCATTACCCCTAGCCCAGAACAGCCAAACAGAACACAGACAGAATGTACTGAAATGACTTTTAATATCTCATGTTGCAGCAAAATTAAAAATATACAAAAAGTTTGTGGTGTACAAAAGTCTCAGTACAGAAGCCCCAGCTTGGGCCCCCTCCCCTGCCCAGGGAAAGCTTGAAAGGGCTAGCTGGGCTGGGAATGGCACAGATGTAGTAAATACCAGGAAGTGGACCTAGGAACAGGCTAAGAAGCGGGCAGAAGTTGGGGCTGACCACAAAGGGGCGCGAGAACAGGGGGAAGTCACCTGGAGTGTGCTGACAGGGAAATTGGGCCCTTAGGCATGGCTAGTGGTTCCTGTGGGCATGTTGGGATATCAGAGACAAACGTATTCTGGTGGGAGCTCCCTCCCAAGGGACCTCGGCTCTAGTTCTAGCTTACCACTAGCTTGCTGTGTGAGCTTGGGCAGGTTGCCTCCCATCTCTGGGCCTGCCCCATCTGTAAACTAGGAAGTAACTGGATAATTAAACCACTGATGCCAATGTGGAGGTCCCAGACCCCACCCAAGCATCTGCAGAGTCAGGGCCTGCCACCCATGAGTATTCTTGAGGATTCTGCATTAAGTCATCTAATACAGAATGGAGAAATCCTTCACACTTGAGTCCTGGAAGCTCACACGTGTCCTCACCAGGATGTTGGAAGCTAACACGTGTCCTCACCAGGATGTATCTACTACCCACTCAGCTTTAATCTAAGGTAGCCAAATGAATGCTTTATTTATAAAAGCCTTTTCAGGAGGAAAACCAAAACAACTTCTCAAGCCACAAAATCCTTGGGGAATCCTGAGGGCTCTGGGGATGGTTCGGACCCCTTCTTATGTCTGGTTTCGAAACCAGACAAGGAGAGCGGCAAGTTCTATTAGGTCTGACTGGATTCTGATACTTGGGAGAAGGGAGGGAAAGGAATTTCCTCTTCCCTCTTGTGGCTATCCTCACTCCCTCTTTGTCCCAAGACCCCCTCCACTATGAGATTATTGCAGGTATCCTGGGCTCCCACCATCCAGTCTGGCCTGGGGACTCTTAAAGAGTTGTGCATAGAATAAAGGCCAGAGGTGCTGAGGAGTGGGTGGCCTCTGGGTGAGGTTACAGTGGAAGGGGCCGGGCATGGGAATCAGGCCTGGCTGGAGTGGACTCTCCTTGCTCTGTCCCCTGGAGTGTGCTGGCTGGAGTGGACTCTCCTTGCTCTGTCCCCTGGAGTGTGCTGGCTGGAGTGGACTCTCCTTGCTCTGTCCCCTGGAGTGTGCTGGCTGGAGTGGACTCTCCTTGCTCTGTCCCCTGGAGTGTCCTGGCTGGAGTGGACTCTCCTTGCTCTGTCCCCTGGAGTGTCCTGATTTGGTTCTTCCTCTCCTAGCATCTTGCAGTGGCAACCAAGAGCTCAGTGTCTACCCCAGCATGACAGGCATGTTCCATTTCCCTAAGCCCAGGGCCTCAGAAGAGTCCTCATCCAGAAGGGGGACTCAGACCCCTACCCCACGCTTCCTCTGGGGATTGGCAATCACCCTGTCCCTCTCATTGCAATGCCCCTTCCTTTGAAGGCTATAGATTTCACCTTCTCACCCAGGCTCTGTCTAGGAAGGAGGCAGATGCCAACGAGTTGTGGGCCAACATGGAATGGGATCGAGGTTCCTGACATTCAGTTAGCAACCTGTGCCTTATCCCTCCCTCTATTTGGAGAGATTCCCTCTGAATCAGGAGCCCCCAAACTAGAAAGGAATCCAGGTCCTAAATAACCTCCTGGGAACAACCAGGGACCTGAAGCCTCCCAGACAGCCAGGATGAGACTTAAGGTTAGACCAAGCCAAGTCCCAGAGGCTTCCAACTGGAGGGGCTGATGCATTAGAAGTCTCAAACTGGTGGCCAGGAGGTTGTTTCCAATGCCTAAACCTCATTGCTCTTTGGCACCAATAACCTTCCTTCTGCCATCCCCCCAGTTCTGCTTTCTCAAACCTCCACTCACCCCACTTTCCTTTCTGGTGTTATCTGAGTTTATACCCATGCGCCCTGCCTCGGTGAGCCTTTTCCTACCGTCTAGCCTTTGTAGACTTCAGCCACAGGTAAGCTTCAAGGGAGGGGCTTGCAGAACCTTAAGTCTTCAGGGAAGTAGTTGGGGATGGTGGTCCCAAGTCTCCCATGTTATCATCTGGAAACCTGCACATTTTCAGCCTTGCCCCCCTGGGCCTCTGCTTCTCCAGTCCTCGGGGTGACACACTTCAGGGAGACGCAGGTGCAGGAGGGATCCAGCTGAGAGTAAGGCAGATTTGGGGAAGGTGAGAGGAAGGGACCAAGCCCACAATCTTAGACAGTCCCTGCAGAACAGGGTGGAGGCCCGTGCTGTCGGCTAGGGTGTCTGTTACAAGGCACATGGTACAGTAAGTGGTGCATGGTGCCTGGGGAGGTTTAGGGGGCATAGCCAGCAGCTGGGGTTGATGTGGGGGTGGGACCTCATGGAATAGGAGGCAGGGTTCTATGTTAGGAAGGGACGGTCTGACATTTCTGTTCCCAAGATGTCCCATTATCTGCTGCTCCTGAAGAAGTTAAGACACATAACTTTTGCTGATGCCCAGGAAAGCCAGAGTTCCATTTACTTGCTGTGTGACTTTGGGCAAATGTATGTTCCTCTCTGTTTCTTCTTTATAATGGATAAGAAGGGTAGGTGACTTTGGGAACTCTTCCTTCAAGGCTGGGGAACTAAAGTTCTCTCTCACTGGAAGAACCTTGCAGGGGTCCTAGGAAGAACTAAGAATCCAGACTCGGTTCATGGTCTGGGGACAGGAGTGGAGGACCCCAGGGGTGCAGTTACGGTAGGGGAAAGAGATCAGCTGAGGTAGATTGTGTCAAAGAAAGGAACCAAAAAATAGCTCCAAGAAGACGGGGGTCCTTCCCTATTCTGATTCTTTTGTCCTTAGGAGGCAAAACACAGGACAATAATGAGAGAGGCCTCAGGCCAGGAAGGATGGGGTCCTGAACTGAAGGGAGGGGGCTTATACTTGGAGGATATGGGTTCCAGATGGGGAGAAGGATTAAGGTCCTCTGCCTACAACCTTCCCTGGTGATCAGATCTCCTTGCAGGCAGGGGTCCTGGGGAAAGCTCTGCGAGATCAGGATGAAAAATGTGGCCATGGCTTCCCTGCAGCCTCAGGCCATGCCTGGCTCTGCTCATCCTGTTCCTTGGCTGCCCTGGCCTCCTGCATCAACCCACTAAGGGATCCGAAACCTTTCCTTCTAGGCTGCTGGAGAATGGGGCATCCATGGAGCCATTCTAGGATCTTGGGGGGGGGTTGATGTTAAAATAACTTGCCAAGGGTAGCCCAGTGTTACCATATTGATGTGTGGGATGGAGGTATAGCTCTTGTAAGGGTGGCACACAGGGGAAACAATGGAGTGACAGTTCCTGGTACCATGAGCCCTGCAGAATCAGGCTGCTTGGGTTTGGAGCCCATCTTCAATGCTCTGCGTTACAGAGATTGTGACAGGTATATAGCTAGCCATGGACCTAGTCTCCAAAGTTAGCTCTGGGTAGAGGGAGAAGGGAATGGATGACTCCCTCAGAGCAGGACTGTGTCAGGATGGAGCTGTCTGTCACTCTGGAGGCCTTTAGGGGTCAGGGAAGCAGAGGGAAGAAAACATATTCTGCACTGGCAAAATGAATACAGCTACCCATGGTGCCAAGCAGGGTGGCTCGTATCCTGGGTATGATGTGTGCTTGTGTGTGTATCCACACAGTGTGCCCTCTCATCCTCACCCTGGCGTAGTTGCCTCCCAGCATCCTCGGCACATCAATCATTGCCATATCACCTCTGATGGGACAGTCAGGAGTTCAAGGCCTTGTGAGAGTAGCTACTATGCTGGGCCTCAGTTTTCCATCTGTAACTCCAAGAGAGGCTGAGCCAGGGAGTCTAAACAATCTTATTTGCATAGTCTAGGATTCTTATGACCTCCATACTTTCCAGTCCAATCTGTACTTATCCCCAAAGTCCCTGGCTGTCCCCTTTCAGTGAGCTCACCTCAGTTGGCTTAGGGGAGTGACAAGAGACTCTAGGCCTTGTCTAGAGCTGCCTAGCTCTCCAGTTCCATAACCCTGCCCATAATGTGCCCCAGTCAAGATGGGCTGTCCCAGGCCAGGGGCACATCCCAGGATGATGGTCCCTTGTGCAACCCAGGATGTCCGGACCATGGGTCTTAGGCCTGGGGCCTTGTCAGATTTGAGACAAAACAAGTCAGTTTCCCAGATGCCACCCCAGAGAACCTCAGCTGTAGGGTAGCAGGAATCCAAGATTGATGTCACATCCCCAGAGCTATTTTTTTTCCAGCTGAGAATCACTTGGCAGCAGAAATGTTTCAAGGGTTTTAAGGACAATTTCCTTTTAGAGGCGATAGAGCTGGGGACATGGAAGGGGATCTAGAACTTCCGTAAACCTTGGCAGCCTAGAACTAGAGCACCCATTCTAGAATATCCCACATCCCCTCCCCCACTGCCCTTGGTAGAAGCTAGAATCATCCACATCAGAGCAGCAGGGTTCATGTCCTTGATCCTTATAAAAGATCAGCAGCTCTCTAGGACATGTTATCAAGAGGTATTCTAGGACTGAGGCATCTCCCCAACAGGCCCTCTCTCAGTGAGCTAGAGCCTCTTCTATAGTTGAGCTAGGCAGAGTATCTTCCCAGTTGTTTTATCTGCTGTGCTTAAGACCTTCATCTTCAAGGAACATCTCAGGAGCACAAGGTGTTGTGACCTCTCACCTGAGGGCTCTAGACCTTAACAGAGCTCCCAACCAAGTCCACCTCCCGAGCAAAGGCATCCCACCTCCTACTGGCACTCCTACATACTGCTGTCAGCCCTCACCCCTCAGGGCTCTTTATCCTGCCAACGTCTACACTGTCAGATACCCAAGTTACCTCCCCGACTCCCTGCACTAATTCTCCTCTTGGCCAGTTTCCCTTCCTACAGGAACTGTGCCAAATCTGTCCAGAGGTGCCCCCCATTCATCCTACAGCCTGTTTCATCTCCTCTCAAGGGTCCCCTTTTATCACAAGGCAGCCCTTCCTAACACTCCCTAAGGGGAGCCCTGGACCTTAGGCAGTGCCTTTCCTCTGGTAGCCCACCAGGGGTGATGTGGCATGATTCTAGGCAGGGGAAAGGGTGAAGACCCTTGTGCCAAGCATAATATGGCATCCCCGTGAGAGTGGGGCAGTTCATGAGGGGTTACCCCATGAGAGTGGGGCAGTTCATGAGGGGGTAGCACCACTTGATGCCCTGTGCCCTGGTCCAGGGAAACTTAGGGAATAGGCCATAGGGCTGAAAATGAGGCCTAGGGCCTCCACAGGTCTGCCCTCTCCCCTAAGAGAACCCCATAGTGGGGCTGTTCTTGGATCCAAAGATCTACTCCCACTTAGCCTGGTGGCCCTGAAATCCAGACTCAACACTGTGGTCAATGTGGGGTCAGCCAACCCTGTCCCTTTTGGGAGGCAGACTGTGCCTACACTGTGGTCTCATACTCCAGCAGTTCCTGGGAGGTGCCCATGCTCCGGTACTGCAACCTGGGTGTGGCAGGTGAAGTATACTCCAAAGCCAGAATGGTCTTCCGGAGCCGGCGGTCAATAAAATGAGCGTCCCATGCTGGGTACTTTTTTCGAGGCAAGTCGATCCGAATAACAGGCCCCTCTGTCCGCAAGGGGCGAGTCACCGGCGTGGGAGGCAAACCAGGTCGCACCTGGAAGACAGGTGGTGTAGGGGTCCCAGCTCGCTCACCTCCCACTGAGGCCCCGTCCCGCTCAGTGCCCGTAGTCCTTGGCAGAGATCTCGGTGGACTTGTGATGGCATCAGCTGGAGGAGCACAGGGACCTGGGGTCTCAGGGAAGATGCAACCAGGTGCCTGGGGCCCCAGCATGGGCCCATTGGGGTGCAGGAGACAGTAATAGACACACATAAAGAATATGCCCAGTGCGAAGCTGGAGGCCACCACGCAGACCAGGATGAGTGAGTAAAAGTCAGTGGAGAAGTTTCGACTGGAGTACCAGAAGCCAGTGAGTGCTGCGTTCTCTAGCAACACAATGCAATAGTAGAGGGTCACACGACGTCGGCTGCGGCCCTCCTTGACGTTGAACCAGCAGAAGATGTAGATGATACCCACCACCATATTGTAGATGATCTCTTCCCACTTGGACATGCAGAAGTCTGTCTCACCCTGGATAACCCAGAAGGTCATGATGCACCAGTGGGCAACAATGAAAATGCCAAAGTAGAGCTTGTAGACACTGGCAAAGAGGGCAAAAGCCAGGGTCCGGGCAGCGATGGTGAACAGGTGCCATAGCACTTGAGCTACAGCACCCTTGTAGGACAGGGGCCGCTTGTCATCTCTCGAGTCTCTCAACACCTTCTGGTAGGATGCCAGTGTCCAGGCCAGGGACACAAGGGAGGCGGAGATGGAGAGGGCTGTGGAGACAGGGTAGGGATGGGGTGGGCTGGGTTAGGGGTGGGTCCAGGTTGGGTCTGGAGAGGAGATTCTGGGTCAGGTCCTGGGTTCTGAGGAGGTGTGAGGGAAGGGTCTGAGGATCAGGTGCGGGGAAGGTCTGGTTGGGGGTGGAGCTGGGGAATGAGGTGGAATATGTCTGTGGGTATGGGAGTATAAAGGAAAATAGATTCGGGTGATTTTGATCTCCATGGGCATTAAGTATGGGGTAGACAGGGTTCAGGGTCTTTGTGGGGGGTAGGAGATTAGGGTCCGGGACTCTGGGAGGAGAAGAGGAGTTCAAGAAGGGATCATGAGGTCAGGGAGGAGTCAGGAGACCCATTAGAAGATACGAGGCTGGGTATGCAGGGACAACAAGAGCTGAGCAGAGCTTTGGGAGTGGATCCCATGCGAGTACCTGAATTCGGGGCTGGAGAGAGGACAAACGCTGTCCCCAACTACCCAGCGGGCCTGAGGACTAGTGATGGAGTCTTGGACACTGAGGGTGGGTGGGAAGGTATGAAATACTTCCCAGATGGTGATGTCGCTTTTCTGTGACGCTGACTGCAAAGGACGGGAATGTTTCAGAAAGGGCGATGTTGGAACGAACAGGGCTTGGTGTACGGGAGGAGACCAGGGTATTCAGCGAAGGCGGAAGTAGATAGGGTCTTTGAAAACTGATGGCGATTGGGCAGGTCTGTAAAGCAATGGGTCCCCAGAGGATGGAGAGATAAAGGGCAGAAGCAAGATACGGTCTGCCCTGGCAATAGAGAAGGGAAAGAGAGCCCAGGACGTCTGAGGGGTGGTGTCAGAGCGGAAGAGACAAGTCGGAGGGGAGTGGAGGTCTAGAGAGGCCTAGAGGGTGGTGAGGGCATGTGGGTCCCTAAACCCTGTGCAGGCAGGTCTGCCTTTGTGGCGGGACGCAGGGAATCCCCAGGGGCCACCAGCACGGAGCTCACCCGTCAGCAGGTCTGGCTCCAGGCCGCGGTGGACCAGTAGGCTGAGCTGCAGCACCAGCTGCGGAGCGCTGCGCAGGAAGGTCTCCAGCAGACGCAGCATGCTCACATCCGCGCTCTCAAACAGCATCCTCCAGTAGAAGTGGCGCCGCAGCCGTTCTCCGCGCCAGCGGCTCTGCAGCCCCAGATACAGCGCGCGCAGGTACCTGCGGGCGAGGGGGTGCTCAGATCCAGGCTCCTCCCTGCTCCCCAGCCTGCGCTCCAGGGAGAGTCCCCTGCCTCCAGGACCTACTCTCAGGCTGTCAAATGGGCTTGCCTCTCCAGGACGTGGTTGCAGAGCACTGAGTGCATCCATTAGCTTTTAGCCTAGTCCTGTCCTCATCTCCAGTTTGGAGGAAGGAACTGGGAGCCAGTGACCATATACTTGCTCAAGATCACACAGCTAGCCAACAGCTCCAGCCCTTGCCACCTACAGTGGGTTGAACTTCACGGCTAGGCACATACCTCTCCATGCCAGTGACTATGTCACCTGCTAAATGCAGCACACTCAGCTCTTACCACATAGTAGGTGCTCAAACCCTGTGTTCACAAATGAATGAATGCATAGTTGCAAGTCTGTTGACTTCAATGGCTCTGGTAACCTTGGAAGGAATGAGTTCAATTCCTGATTCTACTTCTATTTTCCTCTGTTGAGTATGTGCTCATTCCTACCTGAGCAGAGTAGCAGAGAGGATGGATGCTAAGGCGAAGGACTCACATGGTATGAGGAATTAAGCCTAATTCCCACCCCACACTCCTCTCCTGTGACCACAGAACCTGACTTTCCCCAGACCCTGAAAACCTTTGATTATGACAGGTTAGCTGTTTGTCCAAATCTCAGAGGGGTTCTCTAGAAGTGGCTTCCCAGAAAATGGGTGGAGAGTGTCCAACACTATTGCCTGAACGTCAAACTGAGACACCAGGTATGGGATAGTGCTGGTATCTCTAGGACACTGGAACCAGGGAACCAACTATATACACAGTGTGCTGACAGCTTGTGGAAGGGTCTCGGTATGATAATGAGAGGGGTGGGCTTGATGACTCTGGGCTAGTGTTCTATGTCATGGACTCTCTCCCCAAATGTGGCCAAGAACATCCAAGTTGGGGTCCTCTTGGTCTCAATTAATGCTACTGGCATATCCCCAATATGACACCTGGTAGCTGGGAGGGAAGGGGGGCTGTTCCTTTGGCTGCTTGGCAACCCCAGGGCTGGACTGTGTTTCTTCTGCAAGTCATCTCCCTGCATCGCCCAGCTTTCTGAGTCTCCTGCTCCCTCCCCCACTCTCACACAGGATTCCTGCAGGCAGCACCATTCAGTCATACAGCAGGTGTGCTTCAACCTAGCTCTGTACAGGGTTTTGGGCCCCTATACATCTCACCCTGCCATGAGAGGCAGATGGGAAACTTTGGCGGGGAAGTGGGGCAGTCAGGAAGATTTCCTACAAGAAATATCCCCCCATCCTCTCTTTCTCTTCCTTTCCTGACGGTATCTCATGTAGCCCAGGCTTGTCTAGAATTAAGTAGCTAAGGATGACTTCCAAATCCTCTTGCCCCAACCCTCCAAGTGCTGGTGTTACAGGTATGTGCCACCATGCCAGGTTTTGTTTGTTTTGTTTTTGAGATAGGTTCTCAGGTACCCCAGGCTGACCTCAAACTCGAGCTGGTCTTGAATTTCCAATTCCTCTGCCTCTTTCCTCTCTTCCTATAGGAATCACAATGCCTGGTTTTAATGTCTGTTTTCAAGCAAATGTTGGCACCAGGAATGGTGGTATTGTCTCTAATCCCAACACTTGGGAGGCTGAGGCAGGGGGGCCACAAGTTCAAGTCCAGCTTGGGCTACAGAAAGAGACTTGTCTCAAAAATAAAAACAAAAGCCGGGCGGTGGTGGCGCACGTCTTTAATCCCAGCACTCGGGAGGCAGAGGCAGGCGGATCTCTGTGAGTTCGAGGCCGGGCTGGACCGATAGCCTCCGAAACAATACAGAGAAACCCTGTCTCGTAAAAAACAACAAAACAAAAAAACAAAACAAAACAAACAAAAAACAAGGCAATCAACCAATCAAACGGTAAAATACAATAAAAATCACCAGTGGTGGGGGAAAGCTGGAGAGATGGCTCATTGGCTATGAGCACTGGTTTGCTCTTCCAGAGGACCCAGGTTCAATTTCCAGCACACATATAGTGACTCACAACCGTCTGTAACCCAGTTCCAGGGGATCAAATGATCTCTTCTGTGGACACAGCACTTACAGGGTACACAGACAACCATACAGACAAAATTCCCATACACATAAAATACAAGTAAGTATGGGGGGCTGGATAGGTGGCTCAGTGGTTAAGAACATCGGCTGCTAGACTGATGGCTGGGAATCCAGCATTGAACTGATCAAGAGCCCCTAAATGTGGGTGTCAGTGAGGAGGCCTAGGCAATCTATGGGGCCTTGGGTAGTAGATCAATATTTATCCCTGGCATACAAATGGACTTTGGGGCTGGGCGTTGGTGGCGCACGCCTTTAATCCCAGCACTCGGGAGGCAGAGGCAGGCGGATCTCTGTGAGTTTGAGGCCAGGCCAGTCTACAGAGCGAGTTCTAGGGCAGCCTCCAAAACAATACAGAGAAACCCTGTCTTGAAAAACAAAAAACAAAACAAAACAACAACAACAACAAAAAACAAATGGACTTTGGGTGACCATCCCACAATGAGAGATGCACTCTCACCTTGGACTCTTGGGGGAGGGTCTAGGCCCTGCCTTGGATGAAATGACAGACTATAGACACCCCCATGGAGGGCCTCACCCTCCCTGGGGAAAAGAGGGACTATTGGGGGGGGGTTGGTAGGAGGGCATGGGAGGAGGGAAAGGGAGAGGGACCTGGGATTGACATGTGAAGCAACCTTGTTTGTAATTTAAATTTAAAAATTAAAAAAAAGGTCACGGGCTGCTCTTCCAGAAGACCTGGGTTCAATTCCCAATACCCACATGGCAGCACACACCTGTCTATAACTTCCACTCCTCCTGTAGGAGGAATCTGGTGCCCTCCTGCAGACAAAACACTGTTGTACATAAAATAAAATAGTAAGTGTTTTTTAAAAAATACAAACAAGTAAATCTTACACACACACACACACACACACACACACACGAGGATGGCAAGAGTAGGGCATTCAGGAGAAAATACAGATGCCAAGTGCAGAGGAAATGGGAGCCCACACCCTTTCAGGGGAATAGGCTGGGGTTTGCTGGGCTGGGCCTAGACTGGAGGCTTCCAATGAGAAGGGCACAGAATTTTCATAATTTATCACATTGTGAAAGTTCATCAAATCCTGCATCCAATTCTAGGCTTCAGGGCTAGGGGCATTGCTCAGCCGTGGAGTACATGCTTAGTATGCACAAGACCCTGGGTTCCATCCTGAAAAAGGAATCTGGACTGGAGAGTATAGGTTTAATCTTTAATCTGAATCCCAGAATTGGAGGCGATAGGATCAGCTCTGAGCCTCGAAAGCCTACTCCGAGGGCTGGCTTGGAGGGAAGCCAAGGAGAGGCTGGGGCTGGTCCAGGCTGTAGTGACAGGGCTGGGCTAAGGGAATGTGCACCAGAGGGGAAGAGAGCAGACCAGGAAGCAGCCAGAGGTGAGGGCTACAGGGTTGAGGGCAGGTGGCCCCAGTGCTTCTGAGGGCCCCGGAACACAGACCTTCATTCCAGGCCTGCCCCGCAGCCCACTCCCTTCCTCATTCCTGTGGCTCTGACTTCCAACAGGAAGGAGAGGCCAGCTGGTCCAATGTGAAGGGGCCTGGGGAGCTGGGGAAGAGCAATACCCTGGAAGTTTCTCTGAGGCTAGAAGACCATCTGTTTCCGCCCAGGTTAGGATGAGGGAGGTGCCAGCCCTGCCAGCATCCGTCACCACCTGGCAGACCTCCTGCCACTCCCCCGCCCACTCCTCCTCTTTCATCTGCTGGCTTCCCGCTAACCGCAGACAAAGGGCTCACATTGTCCAGGACTCGGATGGCGAGGCTTCTGCCACCTGTCCTTGGTGCTTGGGGGTCAGAGGGTAGCATAGAAACCACCCTGCACTCTAGGGACAAAAGGCCTGGCGTTTTTGAGCCCAGCCACACTCTGGTCCTTTTGGCAACAGTACCAAAGCAGTAGCGTTCTGTTCAGCCAGACTAACTACTCGCTACCAGAGGCTTGGGAGATGTTCATGGGCTTAGGAGAATGTTTGATGCTTGTGGGGAAATTTGGCTTCAAAACCCAGGGAAAAACTGCAGAATCAAAATTAATAAATGTTTAATTAAATGTCTGCAAAACAGAATATGATATCAGCTAGTCATTTGCAATTTGGTTTTTATCTGGTTATATATAATTTACATTTGATGTTTGATGTGACTGTGCTTTAATATGCTTGATGGATGTTGAGCCACAGAGGTCTTAAAACAACACTGTCCAGGACATGCAACCTCATTTCCCTGGCCTCAGTTTCCCCTTCTCTGAAACAGTTAGAGCCTGCCATCCTACCTGTACTGCAGTCACCAGAAAAAAAATCCCAAGGGCAAGATGGAGGCATACTGGATGTGCGGGTTTGTGTCCCAGGCCTGGACCCTGCTTTATGGCCTTGGATAGTTTCTGCTTCCCTGAATCTTATTTTTTTCCTTGTTGTAAGCATCAAGTGATAGAGTACTTTCTGCACTGTAGAGGGCTGAGCACATGGTGGTGGTGGGGAGAAGCCGAGCTTATATTAGGTGGAGGTCTCTGGCTTCTTCTGGCCACTAAACAATTTGGATCCTCCTCCAGAAATCCCACCACACTCTGCTGCCTTCTCTGTTTGAAAGGAAGCTGAGAGGAGCAGCTGTCACCACGGATGAGACCAGTAACACCCACAAAGGACACCTCATCTCAAGATAAGGAATCCAGACTTGCTTTTCCCCAAAATGCACCCAGCGCCACTCCCATCCACCTCTCCAGTCCCTGCCCCATCCGTCTCTCTGGTGGGTGCCACCACCTTGTACTGGCACCTCCCACCATCTCTTGCCAGAACAACCACGTCTTGGCAGCCTTTTCTATGAGCCTCTGTGTAGCCACTCCTGCCCCCTACAGTTCATTCCGCACATAGCAACCAGCGGGGAATTCTTAAAGCCTGTCGGATCAGGTCACCCACTTCCTGGAAACCTCACA